CAGTACAGCAGACAAAGAGTGTTCGAAGGGTTCTCCAGAGGCCTACTTCTGAAAAAGATATAATGGCTGCGTCATCTGTGTAAAGTAAAACAGGTATTTGCTAATCTAAGGGGGTGGAAATCTGGGTTTGGCATAAGTTTGGTCTATAGAATTGATGTGAATAATAAGGACGACTGATGAACTCCCGATTCACTACCCTCTTCAATGGACCCAGGGGCAACAAATGACCCTGTGGGTTGCACTCTGAGGTAGTTGTTATCATGTAACTTGCACATGAGTACGTAAAGCCTGCAGTCTAAGGATAAAGTTTCCATTTTTGCCCATAGTCTCCCCAGGGGATATTATCAAATGCTGATTCAAAGTCAACAAAAGCAGCACAAAGTGACCCATATGAAAATGCTGATGAATTTTCATAATTATTTAAATAAAATAAATAGCAAATTGCTGCAAAATGTGAGGAACTGAATGTAAGATTGGAAAAACAAGGAACTTAGAGAACCAAAATTGACAGATCCTTCCATCCCTAGATGGTGGGAGCCGGGCTGAACGAAGAGCAGGAAACACTACAAATGTTAAAATACAAACAAAATGCTCACAGTCTGTAGGCAGATACTGAAAATTATGAACATGCACTGAGATTACTGGACCTGGTCCTTCCCTGGCATTTAGAGGCAGACCCTTTGTCCCTGTTGCACTGCCAGCTTAGGATGGCCAAAAAGGAGAAGAAAATTTCCATCTCAGCATTTGGGACCATATTTGGCTCCCGGCTCAGATTTCCAATTAGTGAGAGCTGTGAATGTGCCAGCAAACCCAGGCTTTCTCTGCTACATTGTCCAGCGATTTTGATATAGCTTCCGTCTTTTCAACTCTCACCTTACATTTAGTTTAACTGTTGTAAATGTCTTACTCCCGACTTCACTGTCAGCTCAAATCTTAGCCACACAAACCAAATGCCAGTTTGGTAATGCATCTAGGACAATTATCCACCCTCTGACTAAGGACAGTTCTGGTCCTACTACCTTAGTAGCTGGGATGTCTAATGGTCGCAAAGTGAAACCAGGGGTTTGGGGAGGGTTATGAAGTCACCCCAGTTATCCAGCTATTTTTCTAAACACTGAAATGTAGTATCTGATAACCACAACCCATCCCATATCTGAATGAATGAAAATAGCCCAGCACAAATATCAATGCTGTCTTAGTTCACAACTATTATTGCAGTAACTAACTGTATCTAGTTAATTTTTTGTTGTTTTGCAATGAATATTTTTGCAATGAATATCGTTTCTTATATGGAAGGCTCCAGATTCCCTCCCCCCCCCCCTTTGCATTCTGAACCTGGACAATGGAGCCATATTTTTATGCAGGATAATATATTTGGTAAAAATAGGTGATTTTCTAATTTGTCTAAATGAGTGCATCTTTGTGCAAGGACATGAGAGGTTTGTGAAAATTCTACTGCTAATTTTCATACACAACAACATAATTCAATGCATAATGAAAAATACAAAGTACCTGTAACATAGTTTAAGGCCCTCTCTGGCTTATCTGGTTAGCTGATGTCTTTAGGATACAGTGGTGCCTCGCAAGACGAAATTAATCCGTTCCGCAAGAGTCTTCGTCTAACGGTTTTTTCGTCTTGCGAAGCAAGCCCATTGACGGATTAGCGCTATTAGCGCTATCAGCTGTTTAGCGGCTATTAAAGGCTTAAAGGCTTAGGGGATTAGCTGCTAAAAGGCTATTAAAGGCTGTTAAAGGCTTAGCAGATTAGATAAAGGGGGGGAAAAGCGAAAAAAAAAATCTCAGGACTCGCAAGGTATTTTCGTCGTGCGAAGCAAGCCCATAGGGGAATTCGTCCTGCGAAGCAACTTCAAAACGGAAAACCCTTTCGTCTAGCGGTTTTTCCGTCTTGCGAGGCATTCGTCTTGCGGGGCACCACTGTATATGATTTTATTTACACATATATACAACCTGAGCATAGCATTAATGAGCATAGCAGATGTTGTTCATCCATTAGTCAGAGGTTGGGATCCAGCACAGAGCAAGGGTGCCTGTGTGTCCAGCTTGTAGTCTGCTTGCAGCTCAGTTTGCCCTTTCTCTCCACCCCACCCCCCAGTGCTAAGTGAGGGGAAAGCCGACCCATTCATTCTATGGCACAGATCAACTTCTTTGGTTATGCAAATCATGGTCCTTAGTCCGTCACAACCATTGCCTAGACCAGGCTTCCTCAACCTCAGCCCTCCAGATGTTTTGGCCTACAACTCCCATGATCCCTAGCTAGCAGGACCAGTGGTCAGGGATGATGGGAATTGTAGTCTCAAAGCATCTGGAGGGCCAAGGTTGAGGAAGCCTGGCCTAGACTGGTTTGGCAGGCTTGCTCTCATACATTCTACCCTCACAGATACAAAAAACCAAGAACTGGAAGGGACTCAGGGCATCATGCAGGCTGACACACACATACACACTGCAAACACACACAGAAAGCCTGGCATGAGCACTCAAATCACTGGCAACGATGACAACAAATCTCTCACTGGAGTAGCCATTTCCTGCATCTTTCTCCCCCAAGATTTAGAAAGCAAAGATGCCTTACACAAAATGTCTTTCAGCAAACTTTAAACTGAAATGTTTCGTTTGAAAAACAGGTCAATATCAATTGCTTCAAAAATCTACTCGCCTTGTTAGTAAATATTTTCCCTTTACAAGGCAAACCGTAGATATGAAATAAAAGTGGCTTTCCTACCAAGATAGTAGCAGTGCAATCCTATGAATGTTTATTGAGAAGACAGTCTCACTGTTTCTAGTAGAGCTTACCCCCTGCTCAGCGCATCTAGGACTGACGCCTAAAATGTCCAAGAGGAATACAGTTAAAAATAGGGAATGCCGGACTTCCGGGTTAGCGCCTCCGGCAATGGCGGATTTCCTCTGGCTGGGAGGAATCCGCTTCGTGGAAATTAGGGTCTGGACCGCCACGGCGAGGCGGAGACCCACCAGAAACCACAAGTGGGAGAAGCCTGTGGACGTGGGATTCGGCTGGCACCTTTTGCGCCTCCCCTATTTGCGGGGAAACCCAGTTTCGGGGATCCGGAGCGACGTGGGGTGAGCGGCGCGGTGCTTCGAAACGACTGCTCTTTTCACGGAGTGAAGCCGCATTGCTGTTGCCGGAGAGCGCTGACTTTTTCCTGTGGACAATTGGACTTTAAACAACTACCCGTGAGTAGAACGGAAAATTGGACTATGAAACATCTTAATTTGGCACCGAAGCGGGAAGGTCTAAACAGGAAGTCCGCCTTCCGCTTTTGTAAATAGATTGAAGCAAAGACATTGCAAGCTAAAGTCTGGAAAGTCGTTTGTAAAGGACTAAATTTCCATCAGCTAAAAGTACCAAACCCCCCCTTGGAAGCAGGAGAAGAGGGGGGAAATCTTAGATTGTTTAAACCTGCAGGAGAGAGAGTAAAGAAAGATAAATTTCCACCGTCTCGAACCTGGGAACGGGGTGTCAGAGACAGACACTTTGGGGAAGTTCATTGACTGTGAATAAAACGTTTCTTGACAGATAGTTAAAAAAGAGAAACATATTGATTCCAATGTTTCCTTTTGCATTTAAAAGGAACAAAATATCTGAAAAACGAAAGTAATTTTGTTGCTGGATCTGCTTTCAAAAAGACGGATACAAACAGAAATTGTTTCCTCTAGAGGGAGATTGTGAAACTGTTGCTGGAGTCGATCTGGGGAACTCTACAGCTGTAGAGATTAAAGATCGTGAGAATCAGACATTGACCTTGAACAAGAATGTGCCCAGAAGAAGCCTTAGTGCTTGCTTTTTGCAAGACAAGCGCTTTATTGGAACAGCTACATGAAAAGATGGATTTGATGACTGTTGCAGTTAGCAATTTTGGACAAACAGTGAATACCTATATAGAAACCACTCAGGAACCAACTCAGGAATTTGCTTTGACAGGGCAAGTTGTGCAGAAGACAAAGGAGGAGGTTGTTGCTAAACCTCAAGTAATAGAAATGGAGAGAGCCGCGGCCTTGCAGGAACATAAGTTGTTGTTTTTGACGACTGAACCTGGAGAAAATCAGATTTGGAGAGATGGAGTACTGTTTGGTTTGGAGATGGGAAGTTGGATAGATCCCCCTATGCAGGGATGTTTTGACTTTTGGGATCTGGTTTTGGGCCAGGGGGAGTTTGGAGTTGTGGGGGCCCTTAACCTTGGAGGGACTTTGAAACATGCCTTCAAATATCTTTTGGATTTCAGTGCTGTCTATGGAGAATGGGCTGACCTGTCGAGAAGGGAAAAAGATATTGTCAAGTTGGAGTCTCCCTGAGATCTACCCCTCAGTGAGAAAGGAAGGAAATTAAGAATAAGATCAGCAGAAGACAAAGTAAAGTGCAGGTATAAACATGAAGAAGACCTGCAGAAGGGACATGGAAAAGACTTAAGAGCCTCGGATAGAAGGTCACCAGGTTGATGGACTAGATGGAAGGGATAGAAAGGACTGACAAAACCCGAGACCAGGAAGAAGAGACGATGGATGAAGATTGGAAGAAAGTTTAAAAATTCATTTAGAGAATTATTGTAAAATTAATGAGTGTTAGGAAAAATGTTGGAATGAAATTATTTGGCTTTAGTAGAAATGCTGTAAGGAATTATGTATAAATAAGTTTTAAGTTTTAAGCCTTAGGGCTTTTTATGGTAAGATAAGGTTAAAATAAATTAAGGTAATTTAATGACAGAATATAGTGAAAGATGGAAAGGATTTGCTGAGATAATTAATAACTAGAATACAAAAAAGGGAGGTGTGAGGAGGTCGATGAAACAAGTTAATGAAAGATAAAGATTTGGGAATATTGGATTTGTTTTTAAATTTTTTGTTTGCTTTTGTTTTTGGTTTTGATGTACTGTGTATTTTGTTTTTTCTTTTTTCCCCTTCTTTTTATTGATTTGTATTGTTTAATTCCTGTTTTTGTCTATCTTTTTTCCTTTTCTTTTTTTTCTCTGTAATTTTAAATTCTCAATAAATATCATTTTTTAAAAAAAGGGGGAATGCCACTCTTCAGTAATCACAAACAAGAACTCATCAAAGAGGAGACAATCAACTGAGGTTGTAATCAGTACTTACTGACCTGGCAGTAAGCCCACTGAATCCAATGGGACTTATTTCTGTGCAAAGACACATGTAGGATCATGCTGTGAAGATGCTTCACCTATTATACAACCCCAAATATGATGCTAATTATTCTAAGTTTGCTTATAAAGCAGAATAGAATTTCAGGTTTTTACCAACTGTGGATTTTTCTTAACTTCAAAATCCTGAGCAGAAAAGAAGAGGGAAGTTATAATCTAATATCCACTGTATCACACCTAATAAAAAGCACCAGACAGATAATTTTGTTTCACTCCTGTACAGATTAACTTACCGGTAATTGGTGGGCACATTTTACCATGTTCTTTTAATTAAAAAAATCGATTTGATTTAAAAATGTCCATTGTGCGAATTCCTAACAATTGCTCAGAACACCCACCAAAGCAAGATTTGACTAGGTTTTTCAAGTTTTAATTTGGTTATCCAAAAACAGAAACTCCTCTTCTATATTTAGAGCAGGATTTTTACTAATATTTTGTTCAGCAGCACCCTCTAGTGATTTATAGAAAGAACACACCATAACATTCTGCCAATGATGGGTTACCTTTGGTCACACCTGCACCATAACTTTTAAGTGGCAGCGTACCATTTTAAGCAGTCATGGCTTCCCTCCAAGAATCTGGGGAACTGTAATTTATTAAGGGTACTAAGATTTATTAGGAGATTCCATATTTGCAAACCTTGCCATAGCTTCTTCTTTATCTAACCTAAACTCTTCCCAAACGCACAAAACATTAGTATTCATTTTTAAGTTTCAGAAGTTCCCAGAATATTGCTTGCATAAAACAGGAAACAGGCTTGGTAAATTTAGGAAAAACAATTAGCTCTTAGCTTAGTTCTTATTTTTCTCGGTAATTCAAACTGTAAAGTTGCTCACAGCTCTCAGGAAAGGAGAAAGGGAGAAATCAATGATTGTGCATTGATTTTATGAGGGACTGAATTGCAGCTGAGAGAGGCATGTCAAAACCAAGATTCAGAAAGTAAACAGCTGTCCTGCTCGGATCTTGCTCATCATCCTGTATAGCTAGACATCAGTTTAGTGGCTCTTGGCCATGCTGAGCTTCTGTGGGGTGCAGGGACTGCATTTCCAACATGGCAAGGGATCTTGCAGAGAGGAAGCATCCCTCAAAAATCTCATCTTGCTTCCTCCTGTGAGCTGCTGCAGGCTCTGGTACTCTGCCTCCCATTTGTGACTTGTCACTACTGTAGTTTGCAAGAAAACTTGTAGCAGCTGGTAGCCAACACAGTGGCCTTCAGATGTTTTGGACTGCAGTGTTTTCCCTAGGGAGTCTCACTGTTACGTATCTATGCGCCAGACAAAAACTCCCCCCCCCCCAACATTTGGCTATTCATTATCTATGGCCTCCTTTAATGAATGGGGTTTTAAATCCTATCTTTTAAAAATAAGAATGTGTCTTACGATTTTTCTGTGTTTTATGAGGGTTTCAATGTATGTTATTCATTTATTGTTGTACGTTGCTTTAGGTTGCCCTGGCAAAAAAAAAGGGGGGGCAATGGTAATCGCTTCCTAATCACAGGAAGTGTGATTAGATGGCCTTGTCACTCAAACAGTGGCTGAGTTTGGACATCATGGAAAACTAGCTGTGATGGGAACAAGCCCAGACTCCCTTTGGGTTTGCATGCTCCAGTGTGTCCCCTACAGATCCCTGACATGGCATCCCAGAGCATGCCTTCAGATTTACTAAGTTCCACCAACCACATTCTTCTTCTTTTGCTTTTGGGGAGTTGTTGCAGCTGCCAAAACATCCTGTTATGCGAAAGATAACTTTATTAAATATAATATGGTTAGAAAAACAAAGAGAGAGAAAAACAGCTAATGCGGAGAGATTGGGGGTGGAGGGAACAGGTGGCTTTGCACAGAGATGGAAACGTCTAATGTTGTTTCCTGAGAGGTGTCAGGCGCAGAACAGCTGCAGGACTCAACAGCTTGCTCAAATCACTATCCCATGAACAATTCTGGTGAATCAGTTCCCACTTTTCCCAGATATTTCTACCCCAGTCATTGCAGAAGGGACATACTTTGGTAATCTTTCAGTGCCCTGTACGAGGCCAAAATTTGGCATCCCCAAATGGATCTTCTCAATTATGAATCTTCTCGATTTTGCACCCCCTCGGCTCAGCGCCCTGTGCGGAGGAACCACCCACTCCACCCTAAATCCAGTGCTGAATTACAGCCTTCCAGCCAAACCATAAGACTTAACATTCCAGGTACAGTAGTACCTCTGGTTACAAACATAATTCGTTCCGGAGGTCCGTTCTTAACCTGAAACTGTTCTTAACCTGAAGCACCACTTTAGCTAATGGGGCCTCCCGCTGCTGCTGCGCCGCCACCGCACAATTTCTGTTCTCATCCTGAAGCAAAGTTCTTAACCGGAGGTAATATTTCTGGGTTAGCGGAGTCTGTAACCTGAAGCGTATGTAACCCGAGGTACCACTGTACATTTCACCACGTGCTACGAGCAAATTAAGCCTTTCTGTCTTCTAGTAGGAGATGCCAATAATCCTACCGACATCTCACATTTGCATCACCTTTTATTTTTTTCCTAAAATCATTTGTCTTTCATCTTGGCAGAAACACTTGCTTGTCGAATTTCTTCCATCATGAAGAGTCAAGCCGCTTTCACGGAAACTATGCCAAGGCCAAGCCAGGCCGACAGTGCAGATCCCTTCCTGTCGTGCTCCTCAGGCAAGGCAAGAGACCAGGAGGGTGACCGGCCTCCTCTCCAGTCTTAGCACTGCTGCCACCCCACCCCACCCACTGTCAGCTGCTGAGGTTCTTCTCTACAAATCTGATGTGAATGGCTCCTCCTTGGGCTGCTTCTTAGTCACGGTGTTCAGGTATTTCAGACGAATGGTGGGAAGCTGCTCATAAAGGTCAAAGCCCACCTGGCTCTCTTTATTTGGCAATTTATAGTAGAGAAGATGTCGCTTGAGTACCTGAAGAGTGTAGGAGGAAGCAGAGGGTGAATGAAAGAAAAGCAGTTTCCCCGATATGGCTCAAACCCTGGAGATATGGGCCATTCCAGGCTATGCTTTTTTTCTTATGGGGAAAGCATAAGGAGCACAAGGGAACTAAGCAGTAGTCACTCAGACGCTGCAGCCCAAACACATGATGTTCATACCATTAGCACATCTGTTCTGGGGAAATTTGCACCTTAATACTGCTACAACGCCTGCAGTATTTGTCATGTGACAAAGACACATGAGAGCAGAAGCAGCAAAGCAGGCAGGGAAGTGCTGGGACTGCACAATCATTTGGGCCTACTCAAGTTATTCAGGCCTAACTGCTAACTGTTGAGTCACTCTGACATGTGACTTAGCAGCCATTTTCTCTCTGTGTTCTCTGTAAGATTTCAGTCAGAGTCAGTCTGCCTCAGTTGTGAGCAGAGTCAGTATGTCATCTCAGTCAAACTGTTTTGAACCATGTTGTTTATGAAGAAGTTTATTTTAACTCAGTAAAGTTCTTATTCTTTCAGTTAAAAACTCTGCATTCTTAATTTACGCTGCGCGTCAGTATTAGGTTGCTGGTACCTCAGCTGCAAACAGAGTTATTGTTTGAACTGTGCTGTAAGTTTTAATGCTTGTTATGAAGGGGAAACAAGATTCCTAGCTATCAGCTTACAATAGTGCTTGCTGAATCTCCCAATCACATTTAGCGGATTGCCTAAGTCTCTAGTGAATTGGTGGCTGAGGTTAGGTTTGAACTTCCTCCATTTAACTGTTCCAGTGCAGAAATATTCCTCACCCAACAGCCTGCCTTTCAGAAAATTACCCAACTGGCCACACAATAAAATGTGCTCTGTCACATACCATATAGAATCGGGGCTTGCTTCTTAGTTGGGCATTTTTATGCTAAACTGTGATTGTAAGAAGGGTGTTCAACAGTTTGCATGATCAACATCCCTCCATTCCTATGGAAATGATGTGTACTTTGTGCTGCTGCGCAAGAAGACTCAGTAGAGAAACCAGAGCAATTGTTTGCAGTGAGGCAATGGGCTGAACTAATGTGTCTCAGCCAAACAACCCATAGAGACGTTGGGAGCACTGTGAAAATTCATCACGCCACAAAACTCTTTTGTAGCATTACGAGGACTGGTTTTGAGAGCCAGCTGCAGGGTGCCTACCTCATCAGCCAAGAGCCAAGTCCTCTGGAGCATGCTTTTTCGGGCCACATCAGCCTCCTGAGATAAAAGTACCAATAAAATAAAAGTTAAACTTATTATAGTTGCTTTTCTAAGAGAAAGGAATCCAACTCTTCAGAACCCCCAAGGGAATTGTTGGCCATCACAGGCAACAATGAACATGCAAGAGCCAAAATCTCTATATCCTATATAGCAACCTTTTCTTCAAGAGTTTAGTGTGCTCAGAAGAACCCATGCAGATACATCTTGTTTCTTGGGCTGCTCTTTCTGAATTAAGTTTCTTGGCAAATCAGCTTTCTGCTGGCATGCATGACAAGTGGCCTGATAGACCTAGTGAGGATTCAGTGGTCTGGCTCACACTTCACTCTAAGCCAAAGCATGGCTTAGCATGTGGGCCAACCTTGAACCACCAGAGGTTCTAGTTTGATCCAGGAGACCATTTTCCCCAAACTACAACTGCACACCCATCAGCTGACATCACTGTTGACATCAGCGGGTGGGCAGGAGGAGAGGATTTAATCCTGCATTGGCTGGGTGCCCTGTTCCCAACAGGAATGTGCAGCAAAGGCAGCAGGATTCAATCTCCTGAGCAGGGAATTAAAGCATTTCTCAAAAACAAAGTGTGAAGCAGCTCACACGCTTCTCCTACGAGCAGGAGGGCAGCAGTGGAGCACTCTGGACAAATGAAAATTTCCATATTGTCTTCAAAAGGCAACCCAACAACAATGCCACAGGCTATTTCTGTTATCTCTAAAAATCCCAGGTCCACACTGACAGCCCAGGACAAGACATTCATCCAGATCCTCCCTCCTAAAAGCTGACGGGCTTTTCACACAACCAATTGAGACAGAGCATCAAAACATAACAGGAAGGAACTGTGTGCATCACACAACCAGCTTGGTAGAAGAACAGGATGCACCAGGGCCAAAAGATGATCGCATACCTGTGTGGTGCTATCCTGTGAGAAAATGAAGCTGTTGACATGGGCCACAGCAACCACATAAAGTACAGGGCACCAGTTCTGTCGCAAGGTCCCTGTGACCAAGGTCTGAAAGTACTGCCGGAGGAGGTTCAGGTTGTCTTCAGCAGGGGAAAGGTATCGCTCCAGAGACACAGGAAACTGCAACAAAACCAAGAAAGCAACACCACTCAAAAATATGCATTTTATGTTTTCAAAAAAGTATATTTTATAGAAAAATACACCGAAACACATTTATTGTACACACACACACACACAATAATAATTGTACATGAAGAGTGTGTAAAATTTAACTGCAGACTCTTCATGCATTTGTTCAGGCACACAAGATAGGATGGAACAGACCTATGACTGTGTCATGTAATTCTACTCAATACTGATCCAGAGCAGATTCCATCATATAGTTAGGAGAGTAAAAACTTAAACATGTTGCAGGATTTCCAAAAAATAGACCAGAGGCAATTAAAATTTCATCCAGCAGAGCGTTACTGCTGCTGAAGGCAAATGAGTATAATGGTCACAAATCCCATACATTCAGGATTGGCACTGTCCATAAGAAGTCCAGTTGCAGCAGACTTAAACTTACAATAACTTATACTATGTACAAAACACCACACCAGAAGGAAGAGAGGTAGAAAGAGAAATTGAAACCCAGACTCCTTCTGGCCTTACTTTTATAGTCAGCATGACCTTGACAGAAGAGATAACAGAACCAGTTTAAACCAGCTGCACTCAGCTTCTCTGAAGGAATAACCCAAACACCATGAACCTTCTGCTTGTTTCTTTCACACAGAGAAGTTTCCAGAACCCTCTTGAATTAATTAGAAAAGGAAAAATCTCTACACATCAGATCAATACTTTCTGCACCAAGAAATGCAAACTGACAGACTGAGCTCCAGCAAAACTAAAAGTGGAGAGGGAATTAGGCTGCTCAGTCCATCCTTAGTGGGGAACAGAATTATGCTCCCCCTAATCCTGCCAGCTACTTCTGCCTCCTTATACGTTTCCTTCCTTCCCTCTCTCATAGTACTAGAATACGGGGACATGGAAGATTCAGGGCAGGCAAAAGGAAGTACTTATTCACGCAGCACATAGCTAAACCCAAAGATGTAGTGAAGACCACCAACGTGGATGGATTTATAAGAGGGTTAGACACATTCATAAAGTGTTAAGGCTATCAATGGCTACTGCTCAAGACAGCTTTGCTGGGGATTACAAGTAGAGAGTTCTGCTATGCTCATGTGCTGTTTGTAGGATTTTCATAGACATCTTGTTGGCCACAGGAAGAACAAGATGCTGGACTAAATGGGCCTTCAGTCTGATCCAGCGGGGCTTTCTTGAGCTTGCTTCCCACCCCCCAAAGTCCACCCCTACCCCAAAACAAACCAGCCTTATCTTGGGGAGACCTACCTGCTGGAGTGGAACTCCCAACGCCCTCAAGGTGCTCACATGCTCTCCAAACACAGCCATCCTTAGCTGCACACTAAACCGCCTCTGCAGAGGAAAAAGCACGAAGACGCCAAAGAGTGGGTCTCCAAAGGAGACTCCTTCAAACTGTTCAAGAAGGTTGATGTAGAGGTCATGGAAAGAAGCTAAGCCAGGGAGGGGAGCATCCAAGTTCAAGGAATCCAGGACTTTGGGCTGGCAGTAGAGGGAGAGTAGAGCAGCGGTGTAGCAATGGACAGGCCCTTCCAGGAACAAGTCGCTGCCCGTGAGGAAGACACACATAAGCCTTGCAAGTTTGGCTGCCGCCGAGATGCCCTGAAGGACCCTGGCTCTCCAAGTCTCCAGTAAGAGGACCCACTGCAGGTTCTGAGTCACTGTGCGCACAAGATCCAGTGGGAGAGAACTCAGCCCAGCCCACCGGGTTTCTGCACCAGTCACACTGTTATAGAGGTTGATGAGAGGAAGGAACGGCCAATCGGAAGGCAGGATTGGCCCTTTGACCTCAGGAAGAATCATGGATTGGATTAAGTGTGTTTGTCCTTGGTAAACATCTCTGGAATGAACAAGGGCGGGCTCCAAGTAAGCAGAGTGAGAGAGGTAGCAGGCCTGGATCTGTGGGAGATGTTGGTATGCTTCCTCCAGTAAGGCACCACGACTAGGGAGGGGAGGAACAGCAGCTGCTGAGCCTGGCTGTGCTGGCTTCGCCTTTGAGCTCAAGTGCAGGAGGTCTGAGAAATCAGCAGCTTCTGGCCCCCCTGATTTGCCTTCCCTGTACAAAAGAGAGGGGGGGGGGACAGGTGATGAATACCAATGCTTTCTTGATTAATGCAATGATATTTGCTATTTGCTTATCTATTTCCTACAGCACAAGAGTAATCCCCAACAGTCTTATGATCTACATTTTCACAAATAAAGATGCAGCGTGACTCCAGGGCGCTGCCCTAAGGAAATATATTCTACAGTGTGGCAGGTGCTGCTTATAAGTATATATGAAGTGCCTAACTGGAACAGAACAGAGATAAGATTGCTAGAATAAATGCACCTCCAGGAATAGCTAGGGCAGCTCAGAAAGGGGTATAAAGGGGATTCCTGGATGTAGAAAGGGCCTCTGAGTGTGTAGCACTCATTATCATAGCTTACAGCACCCTTCCCCACCTTGATTTTGCTGGACGCCCAGCAACCACAGCCAACCGATGGCCAGGGATGATGGGAGCTGGAGTCAATGTATGCAGAGGCCACCAATTGTTTTTATACGTGGGAATCCATGTTACCAAGGAGATTCAAACATTCAGTTCCTTTTCTCATTACTATAAGCAGCCTCAACGTTGTGAAATTTAATAACTTATTTTTGGGATGAGGAATATACTGCAAGGGAAATGGTCTGAACGCATGGCAATTCCCAACGCCCATTTTCTGCTTTCAGACTGACTCTTGTGCAGTGCAGTGCCGAAAAGTGCCACGTTTGTGGACTAGGTCACCTTCTTAGGCCTCGGCAAATCTCTCATGGCTTAACCCACTTTGCAGTGTTTACGTTAAGGATATATCACCATCAACATAGAAGAAGTCAATTTTTAAAAATTGCACAAACATAACCTCCAACTTTTTGCACAGCAAAAGTTACAAGTGGAAAAGCAATAAAGATGGCATGGAGATTTAAAAGACTTCACAGCTGGTGCAGAGAAGAGCAAGAAGTCACCCTTTGTCCTTCAGGGCCATGGAGCTGCATCAAAATGTTTATTCAGCTATGTAGACAGCACAAGTATTAGTCATGACGGCTATCTATTATCTCCAGGATCAGAGACGGTGTGCCTCGGAATATCAATTGTTGGGGATCAAAGAGGAACAGAATGATAAGATAGTTGTGTCCTGCTTGTCATAAGCATCTGCTTATGATCTAGACACACTTTTAGTAACATCCAGCAAGACTCGTTTTATGTCCTCAACTCCCACTGCAAGGAAACCTAGAACAGGATCCCCAGTAGGTTACTGAAACTAAAGCTCTCCTGTAAATCTCTCTTTTTTCCAAAACAGTTTCTCCACATCCTCATCTTTGGAAGGGTTACTCAAGGGGAGCGATGGGGAAGAGGTGGAAAGAGGGAGTGGAACTTACGGAATCAGTTTTGCATTGAAAACAAGGCCCAATAGGAGCTCATGAGCCAGGTGCTCACTGCCTGGCAACAAACGGCTTAACAACACCATGGCAACGCAGTGATGGAGTGAAGCATGCCGGCTGTAATCCGGACAAGTACCTGCCTGCACAGGAAACAAAAATCCAGCATGTGAAAATGTTGCAGCCATGCGCATTGACACAGATATACGGGTCATGATATGACACAGGGCAGGGGCAGGAATAAAGGGAGGTGTTCTATGCCTGCAAGAGTAGGCAGTTTTTTTATACTGATGAACAACCTCAGAAGATATCCTCCTACACATTGGCTTTTCACCATGAAGTCCGCAAATCAGCGCAACACAGTGCAACTTTGCATGGTGTTTATGCAAGGTGGTGGGAGACAAGTTAAGGCAGATACTTCGGTTGGCCAAAATCTGGGCTTTACACAGTAGATCACTCAGATTTTCAGCCAGTTTCACCTTATGGTGAATGAATACACACGGCACAACCCCCAACTTTCCCACAACCCGTAAGTCCCTTCAGACAGAGTCTACTGATGTTTGGGTGGCAAGGGAGTGGGTGGGAGTAGAAGAAGACAGCTTTAGGTCTCTGCAGACTTTTAAGAAGCTGCAGTATGTTTTCTTTATGGGTGGCAAATTGGGATGGGAGGTGGGGGAAAAACACCTATTGGCTTCTTTTGTCCGTTTCATTATCAAAGGTGGGGAATGGAGAGTGGGGAACATTGTAAAGTGAATCAGTAGGTGCCAAATTCTATTGAGGAACCACAGCCTCATTCATCATGCCCCCTCCCCAGCAGGTTCTGTAATAAGGACATGGGCAAAGCCACCCTGGTGTTCCTTAGATGTTTTGGACTACAACTCCCATCAGTCACAACCAGCATGTGCTGTAGTAAAACACATCTGGAGGGCCCTAGGCTGGTGATGGGTGGGCTAAGCAAACCAGAAGTGAAGAGGGATGCAAAGAGCTTACCATTTTCTGAGCCAGTGAAAGCACGTAATATTGAAAATGGTACTCATGGCTCAAGAGCCAAGCAGAGGAAGGAGTTATAGAAGGCGGGTCAGCAGTCCAGCTCTGCAGCAGATAGTCTGTCACACCCTTCACGTCCAGTATGGAGACATACTGTGTCAAGAAAAAAAAAAAGGTAATGTCAGTTCAAAAACACCTGAATCTAGAGGGTGATAGTCTCCTTTAGCTAGTTTTTTTCTGTCATATAGAAATGTCATTCATATGCTCAGCTACTACAACATCCTTCTCATTGTCTGCTGGGATAATTGAAAACTGATGGTTTCCCCGGAGAGAACAATGCATGCTATATTCACATTTTAAGAGACATAGGAAAAGAGCCCATTTGTCTGGAAAAGTAATCATTTATGGTTACTGCTCCTTCTTTCTTGCCAAGTCTGTCAATTTTACTGCTCCGGAGCTTTTCAGACTTTTAACAACCCATCTGCAGAAGGAGAAAACAAGCTTGCTCCATCTTCCATGTGACAGCCCTTCAGATATTTGAAGATTGCTATTATGTCATTTCTCAGTCTTCTCTTCTTCTAGCTAAGCATACCCAGCTCCTTCAGTTCCCTCAACCATTCCTCGTAAGGGTTGGTTTCCAGATCCTTTATCATCTCTGTTGCTCTCCTCTGCACTGAGCATATCTGCAAGCTTCCCTGAGATAAGAACCCCTGCACAACTGGGGTTCAAGACTGGAGGAAGGCTTGTACACAAACACGCTTATAAACCATCTACAGAATTTGCCAAGTCGGGGTGGTGTTTTTGCAGGCGGTTCACATAGCCTCATGCCTCCAAGCTTAAAATTTTATAAAAACTGAAGAGGGTTTATATGACCAAAGGCTAGACTTCAGGCTCTCATATGCCCAAGGGTTAGGCTTTCAGGGCTCGCTCAACCAACTCCTGGCTTTATTGCATCTGGTTGCCTGAAACACATAAATGGGACACTGTTACAGTGCCCTTGTTTACACTTTCTTCTCAGATGCAGGAAGTGTCCTCTGTTCTCTTTTTTGGAACAGAGCATGTCTCCAACAGAAATGGCTCGAAGAACAGCAGAACAAAACACCAGGAGGGCTCACCTTGCCAACCAGCCCTTTGTGTACGGTGATGATGCTGTCGACAAGCACCAGGAAGGCAGTAAGGAAAGGGAAAGGCGATTTAGAGCCTGCAAGGCTCATTGGGGGTTTGCCCCCAGTGCAGCTCAGAGAAACGATGCTGGGGAGAGATTCTGGCGCTGGAGAGCAGGTTAAAGGATTGCACACAGCAGAGCATGGCCTGTGTGGAAAAGAGAGAAAGAGAGAGAGAGGTTATACTTCAGAAGGCAAAGACTACTGAGAAAAAAGCAACTTATTAAAAAAAATAAATCCATGAGATTAAAGCGTTGCCAGCTAAAGAGAGAAATTCAACGGTATGCTAAGACAATAGTACCATCAAGGCAAGCATTCCCCACTTGACCCCACATGCTGTTCTGGGGTTCTGCTGACCAACCCAGGGCCAATTTGGGATTTGTTTCATGTGCTAGGTTTGTCGGACAAAGTAGGACTCTACCCCCACAGACCACTCCCAGAGTACCCTCCTTCACTCCTTGGCTTCTTCAGCTTTGCCATATAGGTGGTTGCAGAAAGCACAATCCTGAACCTACAGTGCAACGCTATCCTCTTGAAGAGCAGACAAACTTGCCCTCATTATCTGGAAGCAAGCGCTCCAGAGGTATGCAGATGCCTAACTGCGCACATGATCTATTTGCCAACACCAGCACACACCTTGATCTGGCCATTAAGTAACACCCTGGCAAGAAGAAGAAGAAGAGTTTGGATTTGATATCTTGCTTTATCACTACCCGAAGGAGTTTCAAAGCAGCTAACATTCTCCTTTCCCTTCCTCCCCCACAACAAACACTCTGTAAGGTGAGTGGGGCTGAGAGACTTCAGAGAAGGGTGACTGGCCAAAGGTCACCCAGCAGCTGCATGTGGAGGAGCGGAGGAGCGAACCCGGTTCCCCAGATTACGAGACTACCGCTCTTAACCACTACACCACACTGGCAAGAATAAAGAACCCTCTGCACTAAGGTAAACTAATATTCTGTGCCACAAAGCAGGATTCTGTGACCCGTGTAAATGATGCAGTTTAATGTATGCCCACGTTGCATAATTTACTCTGACTTTATGAGCGAGATCAAAAGACAAATAGGGACAGGGGCAGAAGGAAAGAAGACACACAGCCCTGTCCATCCAGCAGAACTGTTTCAGCTGCCCGAAGAATGACAGCACAGCACCACTGCTGCTTGTTGGCTTGCTGCAGCAGCAACAGACGTGGGCACAGATTTTACCTGAGCATTTCCCAGAGGTTCTGCATGACTGGCTGGCTGAGGAGAGGCAGCAGCAGCGCTGATGTCAGATGCTCCACTTCCTCTAAGGAGTCAATGGGGTTTACTGATGGCTGTGAGGGGGGAAACGGGAGGAAAAAGGCGTTTTTGTGAAAACTCTGAAATTAAGCCAACAACATATACAGTGCATGAGTCAGACCTATTGATTTCCTTCCTTTTTAAATTCAAGATGCTGCAGGCACATGATTTTGCCTCATGACATTGTCCAGGACAGTGATATATTATGCATGATCAATGCCTCCAAACATATTTGCCTAGGGATGTTTTATTAAAGAACTCAAGTACAAGGCAAGAGCACAGCAAGAAGGGTGGTTCTCAAACTCATTGTCTCTTTCCCTGCCTCACAGGAAAATTGCAGGACATCTTGGCAGATCACTTAATAATTAATCTACCTGTTGTAGCAATTGTATGTTGAATGTGCTAGATGCTGCATGGTTTTTAATTGTATCAAAAGAGATCTGTCATTGTCCACCTGAATGAAGCTTGCAACCACTGCTGGTCCATGGACCAGAGTTTGGGAACTCCTGGGCTGGTGTAACTGCCCTAATGCTTCAAGTGGGACAGCTGAAGAGTCTCCTTACAGGCCCTTGCAAATCCAGGACTCTTTAATTCAGCTCCTTGCAAGATAGAGACATCAGTCACTACTTTTCTGTATGGAATTAGAAGTGGGTCAAGGGTGTCAAAATATATTGAACAACTGGCAAGGAGGAAACTGTTCTTTCCTGTTTATGCTCTACAGTTGACTACCACTGTCTCCTTCCCAACAGGAGCTCTTCCTCCTTTCCTGTGCTGTAAGGGAGACATCAAACAAAACAGAGGAATACAGAGATGCACACTGTACTCCTCCTGCTCTAGATAAGCTTTGGGTGAATGGGGAAAGTGCTCAGACACAAGCCTGGTTCACACGTAATGTTAATCCATAGTTTCTTTAGGTTAACAATGGCTTGTTTGAAGACTACCCATGATTTGTTTTCTGGCAACAAACCAGTGCTCGAAAAGATCCCTGGCACTAGGTTTAAAAACAATACAGAACAAACACATATCTTTATTTGCTTTTTGTACGGTTTCTAAAACTATTTCTGGTTGTTTTTATGGTTTGTAAATTCCCTTCAGACTTGATATGTAGAAGGAGATTCGTAATCCCCCTCCCCTGGCGTAAACTAATAACGTAAAATGAATAAACAAAAGTGAAGCTTATGAACCACAGCTTAACTATGGTTTGGTGTCAGGTCCAAACCAAAGAGCTACGTCTGGCCATCCCACCCCAGATGCTCACCAAGTTATACAAGTATTAGACAAGAACAGTTGGAAAGTAAATCAAGTTCTGGAAAAACAGCCCATGACGTGTTTGCTTGTTGGTGAGTCTACTCATGGCTTGTTGGACAAGCAATGGGTTATTGTCATGTGTGAATGCAGCTACTGAATGCATAAGTGGCTCTGGCTATGGTCAGGCCTCAAACAATCTAAGTATAATCAATAACAAAATTATTTTCATTTGCTTGGTGATTTCATAAAGAATTTTTGACTGGTAGTTGCTTCAAAAAAGCTCCTGAAGGTCATTTCAACAGGGGCTGAAAACTACTGCTAAATCTTTTCCACTTGATTTGGAAAGTTTCCGATGCTTTTGACACTCTCCCCATGAACGGGGGAAGAGATATATTAAGCTGATCCTGTCCGAAGTCATCGTAGTAAAGCCAGGTTAACCAAGGTAGGGCCTCAAGATGTTGTTGGACTCCAACTCCCATAAGCCCCAGCCAGGATGTCCAGTGGCCAGGAATGATGGGAACTGTGGTCCAGCAACATATGGAAGGTACCATGCTTGGCAAATTATAAGCTGGAAAGACACTGAAACCAGCTGCAAGGTTCACCTGAATTTACAAAGGAAGCCAGAAGACAGGCACCTGTATCATTTCAGTTAAGACAACTGCACTTCCTTCCCTTGACTGTACTCCAAGTCTTGCCCAGACGGATAGTTGCACTGGGGAATAAAGGATCAACCCAGCAGACAGTTGCAAGAGACATTTCTTTGGTTTTCACAGGCCTCACCTGCTGATTGCAGTGACTGTAATAGGCCGCCATGTAAAGAACATAAGCTGTTGTGAGCGGCTGCAGTGCCTGCCAGATCTCCAGCTGGGTTATTTGTTCAAGGCATACTTTCAGTTGCATTTCAATGATGGGCCTGAAGCCCGATACCTGACTCCAGGTGACTGGCGGAGGTGGAATCTGGCCACCGCCTTCTGGATCACTCCTGAAACAGAAAAGAGAAACCATGAAGGAGAGAGGTAAGCTTCAAACTGCTAACGCCAACTGACTGATCAGCCTAAAAGATTCAGTGACTGTGGAACATGTTTTAGGATGCTTTCATTGTTGTCCGGTTTTACTATTTAACGCTTTGTTGAGAAGTGGTAGATATTCTGAATGAAATAAATGAACAAACTTTACTCATGAGAGTATTGTTTATATCTTGTTTATATTATGTCTATATTGTTTATATTATGTCTACAACTAGATGGCTTCACAAGCAAGCTGAACTGGTGCCTTGCCCTAATCTTATCTATTATTAAATTATTACTACACTTATATCCCAAGGAGTCCACACTGCATACATGGTGCCCCCCCACCCCCCATTGTATCTTCACAACCCTGGCAGGTAGGTTAGCTGAGAGGTGAAGACCAGACCCATGTCACCCAGTAAACTACATGGATTAATCAGGATTTGAACTCTAACAATATTTACATGCCACCCAATAACTGTTTAATCAGAGCAGACCTACTAAAATGAGTGAACCTAACTTAATCATGATCATTCATTTCAGTGGGCCTCCTCTCAGTAAAACTAAGCTGAATATCAGATAAGTTCTCCGGGCAACTAACAATAATGGCACTATAAATAAAAATCAGAGAGTAAGTATAACCAAACAACAACAACACACCACTCAGTGTATTAGTACAAATGGGGAAAGCAACATAACAGTCATAAGCTCCACTTATGGATGAGAATTGAAATGACCTTGTTCCAAGTAATTGAGAGAGGGGGAACAGGGGAGCAAAAGAAACAAGAATGTGTTATTTCTAAGCAAGGTTTCTGCAGTTGTTTGGCTGGAGAGGATTCATCAAGTTGCAGTTTTAATATTTGTCAATTTTGTGCCATCTGTAATATTTTCACTGATGTTTTGCAAGCTGCCAAGAGACTGCGAAACAAGCAGAATATAAATTCATCCATTCATTTATTGTTTTAATTTAAGATAGGAAATGGTCAAGGCCCTTGGCTGATCAAAGATTAAGAGCCGCTTCACACGTGCACAGATATCACTTGATTCCTAATTACAGAAACTCATGCGACTGATAATTCTTGGGCTCAATCTAAAGGTGTCCCTTCGGCTCGCAGAAAAGCTTTCAATTCAGATGATGTTACCACAAACAGAAGAGGGGGTTAATTTTCATTGATAACCCCAGCAGGCTGCAGCATCACCTTCCATTCTGTTCTAGAAAGTTATCCAACCTTCTGGAGCAGATTTACTGAGGGTGCAGGGGGCTGCAAAGGGAAATTGGCAAAAGTCACCTCCCTTCCTCTTCCACTAGCAGAGGCACACCATAGTTTTAAATCCCCTCCACAAGCAAAAGAGAACAATGGGATTCAACCCATTATGTCTGCAGCGATGAGAGTTCCATTTGCGGGATGCAGGACACAAGCCAAATTCACACAGAACAGCTCTCATACTGCAACAGCACTTTTCTCTGATGCTGGACACATTACGCCTCTAGCAAAGTGTTTTTTCCTTGGTTTGCCCCTGCAGCCTACCAGTCCCATATGCTTTCCTTCAAAGTGCTCCCACCCCTGTCACTCACTCTCATCAGAGAAACCTCTTTCACTGAGCCAGGTATTTATTTACACCCACCCAAATGATTATCTTCTCAATCAAATTCACTGCCAACCTCCACTGCTGCAGCACGAACAAACCTCGGGCTTCGCTGGACTCAGCAGTGGATTCCTAGGGAATACCACAATCAACTGCTCTTCAGCAAAGTCTAATTATTTCCTCCCACTCATCCTAAGAAGAGGGAAATGGAAGAAAAAGAGATACAAAAATAGGGGACTAAAGCAGGACACACACAGGGAAGACTAGAACGCCTCTTTGAAGGGCAATTAATCTGACAAGACTGCTAGGCTGAAAGAACATTGATGGTCACAACCTTACTTGCCGAAGTGATCAGTTTTTACTGAGGTATCACCACCACCCTCATAAATACCTTCCTCACAACTATAGAAAGCCAAAGAAGCTCTGTCACAATTCTCATCACCAGTCGTGCACAGACAGCTGTTATGAAAAGGACAGAAACTTCAATACCACTTTCAGCCACAGAACAGCAATTTTTTTGTCTCCAGGAAGCTTCCATCATGTTTGGTTATGTGTTGTACTCACTCAAAAGTTTTCAAAGACAAACAGCCTCCAGTAAATGAACCCTGCTCCTAGACTCTCTTTGTCTGTATTCTGTATTTTAAAGTGACCATGTCAAGCATGACACAGAGACACAGCTCTTAAGTACAAAAAAATTAAAACATCCATATTTTTCACATTTAAAGCCCGAAAACGATTTTCCAACAATGGTGGTGGTGTTCACTCATTTTTGAACACAAAAGAATGGGTACATTATCTTCACTTTGCTTCTCATAAAAGTGCCCAGGATTTATTATTTATCTGTACATATTCAACAGCCATCTCATGTTTTAAAAGCCTATAATAATCTCACACCAGAACCACAAGCATGTGGCTATGTCAGGCTGCATATGATATAATTTAGGAACGCTGCTTTGTAAACAATAGTCTGTTCTCTTCCCCACCCACCCCATCATTTTGAAGGTAACTGGCTCCCCCCCCCATCATTTAAAATCCTTTCCTGCCCTTCACTTCAAGTGCCACTTTCCCAAAACAAGTGATGAGAATTCTGCACGGCCCATTTGAAAGAAAAACCAGAGAAATTGATTCACCTATATTTCAGAGAGAGCCAATTCACTAACTGCTAGTTTCTCTTTGTAAGGAAGCACTTAACGGCAGAATTTCAACAAACCCTACATTTAGTGCCGAGTGTTATTTGGCCATTGCAGAAAGCTGACATGTGATGGCACCCTCGATTCTTAGAAGCAGGAGTGCCACAGCTCTCGTTCAAAACGAAACTTCTCTAAAAACAAGAATAAAGGCAAATAATAAGGTTGCGCTCACAAACCCATTCCCTCGCTCAGTTACCCTTTTGAAAGAACCTGATATTGTGGATGGTTTATCTTGTGGCTTTGCAAATGCTTCTGCCTGGAGGGAATGTCTCTTTGATATGGGATAACGCCTCTTGCTTGCCGGGTAAGGGCAAGTTTACCTCTGACTTTTGCACTGCTGGAATGTAGCAGCCCACAGTACAGAGGCCATTACGTGGAGGAAAAACATCCACACATACAGGCAGGGAATGGTTTTCAAGCAGATAATGCAGCAACCTCGCTGAAGCTACACAGAACTGAGTCTGCTCAGTGCATGAATTGGGGTCTGTTGGGAACCCTGCATGAAAGGCAGAGTATGACCGTTTGATGGCTTCTGTGAAGGCTGTTCTTTTTTGGGCAGGCTTTTTAAAATCAATGGCTGCTGTATACCACTTCCACACCACCCAATATTTTTGTCCCCCAAATCAGGATGTTAGGAGGGGAGCACTTTCCAGTCCAGTGCTCTGGCGATCGTGTGCAGGGTAGTCCCAGAGCGCCAGACCAGAAGGTGCTCTGGCACTCGTCAGCAGGGACACACCAAAGCGCCTTCTGCTCCAGCGCTCTGGCACGAGGATTCACACCAGAGCACTGGACAAAAAAGTGGACTTGTAAAAGGGTAAAAGTATTGGGAAACGATATACAATGAATTGAAAAAAATGGTTTAAAGTACCTTTCCCCAAAAAACCCCAGAGCCCTTTCTGTCAGGGATAATTCAGAGGGAAATTCCCAGGTGTCAAAAAAGATGTATGCTATTACTGTGGCCCATGTTTTGCTAGTACAAAAATGGAAAACAAGCGAGGTCCCAAGCAAAGAAGAATAGCAACTTAAACTGATGGAATATGCACAGCTTGTAGATTTAACATAGAGAATAAGAGAACAAGAAGAAAATACATTTAAGGAAGACTGGAAAATGTTTACTGAATATATGGGTGAAAATTGTGTTCATTTAAAAACGCTGGTAGCACTAAAATAAATTCAACAGTGTTTTGATGGATGTAATAATGGATTACTGAATGGTTTAGTTCATGTAAAATATGCAGGGATGTGTGGTATGCAAAATGAACCAAGGAAAGAGAAGCAGAGAAGTCATTGATTTAGGGTTGTCTAAATGAATCTTTTGAAATGTAATTTGGAAAATTTTGTAAAAATTATAAAAAAGGGCACTGGACAAAAAAAGAGGACATTTCAGGATCCTAACAGAAGCCATGACTGGCATCTAGGGAACAGCAGGTGAGGACCAATACCCTCGTGTCTTACTTGCGAGTTTCCCATAGGCCTTTGCTTGAGATGCTGGACTAGATGGGCCTTTGGTGTGATTGTAACTTATGTTACTAAGTTGTTAATTCATCATCTCCCTCATGTTTTAGTTTAGAGCATTATATCTGCTATTTCTTATCTCTTTTAACTGTTATTACTTGCATACTGTTTGTTATATTGTAATCTACCTTGACATCTGGTTTAAAAATTCAAACAAAAACCTTTATAAATAAATAAATAAATAAATAAATTAAAATAAAATAAAATAAAATAAAATAAAATAAAATAAAAAGCACTCCGGTGAGTGATGCAAACTCATGTTGCTACTGCAGAACATGCCTTTTTAGGAACACACACACACACACACACACACACAAAAAACTGGCAATAGAAGGTGGCGATACCTGCTAAGCTGGGCTTGCAGTTCTGCCCTGCAGCCGGCCGTCTGTGTCACTTGAGTAAGCAGAGTCACCATGGCTGCAGCTCGCTGGACAGAAAGTTCAAATAGAGAGTTGTTCTCCTGAAAACTGCCAGCCAATTGAGCCAGGGATGGGACCATCTTCATTAGCACAGGATAGAGATCCCTGTAAATTTGAGAAAATGTATGAGGCGGAGGGCAGGGATCACAGGACATTGATTGTTACAAATAATTTGTTTACTCCCAGCACAATCCAAAATCCCATGATAACTTTGTTACTGACCCATATTCTGCAGAGAAAAGGCTTCCTGCTTCTCAAAACGTTTGATAAAATGAACCAAAAGTTCATTTTTTAAAAGCAGGAAAAGTTAAAGCTTGAATAGAAATGAGGATTTTCCTATGCAACCGAAAGACATCATTTCAACCTTACTTACACTGTTAACATCTTTCTCAGTAAAGATAAGAGAACAAGCATCTTACATGGTCATGGCAGGCAGAACAGCCTATATGCCAGAATTTTAAGACAAAAAACTTTGCAGAAAAGAGTATCACCCATTACCAATTTACTTTGGTTGCTGGTTTGAATACAGCTGTTTAGGGAGCAGTTCTTGTGGCAATGATCAGCTGCACCTAGTGTCACTCACTGATACAAAACTAGCATTTGGGCATACATAACTGTTACAAAGTGGACCCATTCTGGTTTGTGAAAACCAGTCTGGAGAAGCTGGATTTTCTGCTGGCCCAGAGGAGTCAACACCTCTCCCTGCTAATGAGTGGCCTCAAATCTGCAAGCCTCAGATACAGTCCTCGCTAACAAGCCCAGTGACTGAGCCCACAGATACCTCACCTCAATTCCAACCTCCTTCATTCAGGGGATGTTGCAGAAAAGGAGGCTAAGCAACCATTTCAGAGACAGTCTTTATTTGCTTCCTAGATTCTTGTCAAACTGACTTCCCTGGTAACTGTGTAGATTAGTGGGTTTTTCCGCTTGTTATCCATCCTGGTTTAGAGATTAATAGGGGCAAATAAACCTTAGTGATCTTCTCAGATGTGGCCTTCTAATGTTCTTGATGACATGGGAGAGATATACCTCTCTCCTGCCAAGTCGCTGCTGCAGTTTATACAAGCTCCTTCCTCTCCTGCCTACTGCAAAAGAAAGACTGCAATACGCAGGTGGAGAAGGGAATGGCAGATCAACCACTATGGTGAGTCATCACTATGGTTCACACCAGACTGGCTCTGCCAGTGCAATTGCACAACACTCAACCATAGTGATGGTGATGGTGAGCAGAGGTTTCCTAAGTTGCAGCTGGGCAAGGGTTTTTCTTTTTTGGCAGGTAGGGAGAAGATGTGCCTTATTCTGAAAACACACCCAAAGAGATCACAGGCCTGACTGTAGCCGGTGGCCACAGCCCACAAGCGGAAAGCTTCAGTGTTCATCCTTATGGCTTCCTCTATCCTCAGGGGAAGGTCTTTGGGATCTTCAGCTACGAAGCGACCCAGCCGACTCTTCAGTTCGAACTTATTAAGCTGTGAATAATAAGCAGACAGCAGAGTAAGCTGCAGGACTTAGGGGAGAGTAACCCATACAGACATTCGAGGAGGAACACCTAATGATAGCCACTGGATTAGAGGGCTTTAAAATGGGATCGGGCAAGTCCATTAGGGATAGAACTGTCAATGGCTGGTGACCATGATGGTTAAATCCACAATCACATGCACTGAACTACGGAACACCAGTTGCTAGCATCCCTTACTTGTGGACTTTCTGGGTGCAACTGGTTGGCTGCTATGGGAAGCATGCTAGGCAAGAAGGATCGTTGGGAGTGAGTCAGCCAGCCAGTCTCATACCCAATAGCAGATGGCTTGGTGTGGCGGCGGCAGCCACTTGACCTCCAGTCAGTCCTATTGCTGCTACTTACTGGGAAGTAGAGGAGGAGAGAGGAGAGGAGGTGGGGAGGCTGGCACAGTGCAAACACACCAGACTGGCTCTGCCAGTGCAATTGCACCACACCCAACCTTGCCACCACCTTGTCCTTCCACCTCTGCATTTCAGTAAGCAGCAATGACACAACGGAACTAGGTCAGGTGAGTGGCGCTACCCCACCACCCCACCTCCTGCCACTGCTTCTACCCTTTCTTAAAGTTTCATGGAAATCAATGGAAGCAGCATTAAAAATGAGCACTCCTTTTCTTCTTACTTCCCATTGCACTTCCTTGGCGTTGAACCTTCCTATCTCAGCACCTGTCTTTCATCCCCTTTCCCCTTGCCCTCTGCAACCAAAGTACTTCTTACACCTTCCCCTACCTTACCTCCACATAAAAGTTCTTTAGAAAATCTGAATTCCAAGCATTACTTATTTCAAGCACATGATTTGTTTCCATTGTACCAAAAATTGATGTGTGTATGTGTGTCTATGTGGATCTATAGAGAGTGCCAACAGACTGGTCAGCCATCTCTGGGGAAATTGAGTACAATACGATAATCTTTATTGTCATTGTCCCATACAGAACAACGAAATTGGAAAAATCTACATCAGACATTCATAATAATAATAATAATAATAATAATAATAATAATAATAATAATTTATTATTTATACCCTGCCCATCTGACTGGGTTTCCCCAATCACTCTGAGTGGCTTCCAACAGAACACTAAAATACAATAACCTATTAAACGTGAAAAGCTTCCCTAAACAGGGCTGCCTTCAGATGTCTTCTAAAAGTTTGGTAGTTATTTTTCTCTTTGACATCTGGTGGGAGGGCGTTCCACAGGGCGGGCGCACAAGCCTGCTATCCCAGCTATCCCAGCCTGGATAGCCCCTAAAAACTCTGATACCCCATCACTGAATACAATATACTCACATAAAGACTACCTTACACTGCGTTTAAAACCAAAATTGCATTTGGATAGAAACTGTTTCTCAGGCGGCTCAGTAACCAAGCTTCTTCTTCTTTTCGTCTCAACCATCTTTTGAACTTCTGCCCCCCTGTTTAAATAGCTTAAGTGGAGAGGCCCTTACCAGCCTGGCAGCCGCATTCCTCCCTCCAGATGCCAAGACTCTCATTAGCTTCATGGCAGTGGCGCATGGAACTCCATGCAGACTTGTGAGCAACTGCCCAGGTTCAGCTACTCTTGGATTCCACTGAGTGGGGAGGAATTCTCTGATGACCATCTCAACCAGGCGAGGGCAATCCAGGATCTGCAAAACAGACATTTAAGAGCAGCACAAAGCCACTTATTTGTCAGTGCAGCAATGTAAAAAATTTAACCATCTGGCCAAGTATATCAAAGGAATCTGAAATATTCCTATATGATCTCTATTCTTCCACCTCAACTGGCATCTTTGACCCAGAGAACACACACACAGGTACCTACCCGACTGCATGCTTCAGTAGAGTGCCTTGCTATGCGCGTTAGGATGTCTAGACTCTCCAGGACTACCAAAGGCACAGGTCGCATTACTTCCAGAATGTATCTCAGGCGCTGAAGAATCTTGGTCTTTAGCAGTCCCTTGGAGATAATAATAAGATTTTGTAAGTCTAATACAAAAGCCCCAATTATGGCTCAGCAAACTTCCACTTCAGCCTATGAATCAGTAACAGATATGTATTTTTTGTGGGGGTTTTTTTTTACAAAGATACTGCTTTATTGACAATATTCTGGAAGTGACTAGAGGTTTTACCTTTATGGCATCATATTGTGCCACTTCTGGATCTGGTTTGTTTTCATCCTTTGGTCTTTTCCCCGGTGCCTTCTGGGTTGGAGTTTGTTCCTCATTCTCATCTTCCTCCTCCTCCTCCTCTTCGCCCTCATTCGGGATAAAAGGGTAGACAGTGATACCCTGGTACCATGAAAATGTCTTGTCCAGATACTCCTGCAAGGAAATGAAAAACAAGAAGCTAGTTCTTGCTGAACAGCGTCGAAAAAGGAGGAGAAGATGCTCTCATATCCACTCCTAGGCGTCTTCGATAGCAAGGCTTGGAAAGAGCCCTCCCAGAGAAATTACTGGAATAAATGGTGTGAGAGGCAGCACTGGGACTTGAGAAACCATAGTTCAAATGCCCACTTAGCCAGTCACTGCCCCTCAGCCTAACCTACCTCACAGGGCGGCTGCAAGGATAAAATGAAGAGGAGAGAAGTGTGTGAACCACCTTCAGCTTCCTGGCTTAAAGGTAGGACATGAATATAATAATAAACTATAACAAACAAATATTCACGATAAGTTCTAAAGGCATGGACCCAGAATTGTTCTTCTGGAAACAGAAAACGCAAAGGATCCATTTAATGCCCAAGGAGGGAGCTGCCTCATGCAGAGTCAGGACACTGGTCCATCTAACTCAGTAGTGTCTCTCACCAGAGGATGGGAGCCTCAGGCTCGGGGGCCAAATGTGGCTCTCCATGCCTCTCTTTCTGGCCCTTGGAACTCAGCCCCTAGGTCTTACCCCTCATCAGCCCTGTTCCATACTCTCCTTAAATGCTTTTTGCCTGGCTGGAATGTGTCCTTCAACTATGATAACGCCCCTTGCTTGCCTGAATAGCAAAGTTGGAGAAAAATGTGTGGATCGCTGGAATGTGGTCTGCTGACACAAAGCTAAGAGCCACATCAATTGCTCTATCCACTTTCTGTCTCTGGCGCCATCCACCAGTGGCTCTGCATGATTTCAGACAAGAGTGTTTCCCAGCCCTGCCTGGAGATTGAACCTGGGACCTTCTGCATGCAAAGCAGTTGCCCCACCACTGAGCGGAAGGGAGCAGAAGCCCTTAATAACACGGAGATCTATCCCTACTGATACCAACACTCAAAACTATTTTACATGGATTCTTGGGTTCTGCAGATAGACACCTCATCATCTGGAGAGACAAGCAGCGCATGGAGGGCGTGGACAGTGGCTGCAACGACATTATCCACTGGGTCATCCAAGGAGAAGCGGAGCAAAAAGAGGAAACCAGCGTCAAGCAGCACACGCAGGACACTTCCTTTCAGCGAGGAGGCAAACTCCCCTCCCTTGGCCTGAAAACACACACCACAACGACAAAGTCAGGTTAAAAGGAGAGAGAGAGAGAGAGAGAGAGAGAGAGAGATGGAGAGAGAGAGAGAGTTGTTGTTTTTAGAAGGCAGCACAGGGACGCTTTCCCGGAAGTCCTTAGACTGGAAACTGATGGAAGCAAATCCATTCCACTTCTTCCACTTCAAATCATGACATTTTCTTTTTTTTATGATGAAGATTGATATCTTTTGCATTCTTATCCTCTGGCAAAATGCACACAGCTATAAGGCAACTGAGTTTCTCCCTAGGGCTCCACAAATGAGATCACTAAATACACCATGGGCAGCTGCATCTCTGGCCTCGAGGGGGAATGTTCTTCCCTTGGAATTCTGCCAAGGTGTGGTCATCTCTCTTGTCTCTGACGTTTGCCCTGTGCTTTGGAGGCCTTGTGAGTGCTTCCAAAGCACAATAATGAAATCAGGTCCCTCCACTCCCACCCGCACATCCTCTATGCATTCCACAAACAATGATGGTCTACCAGTGGGGACTAAGCCAGCCAAGATCTGTAGATTCTGGCTTATATCAATATACAATTATGGCCAATTTCTGCCAGACTTCATAACCTTTTCTCGTTGCTTTAAAGCACTTAAGAGCCTAATTTGGCTGTTCCCAATAGCCAACGTATTCAACTAAACCACAAATTAATACAATGCAGCAGAAACTTCACCATTAGCAGATTTGGCAGTCGCTAGTGAATTAAACTGCTAGCTGCCTTTTGTTTCCCTTAACTGAGAGCCAATTCCTATGCATGTTTATTCAGAAACAATCCACACTAGGTTTTAGTGGTGCTTGTTCCCAGGTAAATGTGCAAAAGAACATCACTCAAACCTTTCAGATTAGATAATAACATGATAACAGCATCAGAAGACTAGTAAGATTTCAGTCTAGTCACCAAATATATGGAGAGATCCAAATAATGTTTTATTTACTCATTAAGGAGGTAGGAACCTTCAAAAATGTTTTAATACGGCCTTCCCCAGGCTGACTCCCTCCAGCTTTGCTGCTAAACTCCAACTTCCATCAGGTCTTAGCAGCACAGCTAGTGGTCAGTCTTAAAGCAACATCTGGAGTTGTCAGGCTGGGGAAGGCTGTTTTGATCACTGACCCATCTAATAAGAAATGTCACAGTGGGAAGCTTTCTGTTGGAGCACCGTGGTCATTCTTCAACTTTGCAAAAATGACCACTTCAGATCAAACCCTGTGGATGTACTTGCATGTCACCAAACTGTCTTAATTTAGAGATTCCCTAGGGCCAATTAAAAGGTGAACAAGATCAGAAACCAAAAAGCACATTGGTGATTTGGTATATGTGGAGATGGTTTTTGTGGCATCAGAAGAAACCTGGCCACCCCGTTTCTCTCGTCACCCCTACAAAGGTTAACTCACCTTCTGGACAATGTGACCAAGCACCTGCAAAGCCAGAGTCCTTTGCTGAATGACCTGGCTGCGAGACAAGTGGAAGAGCTCTTGGAGCGAGTAGCCAGCCCTCTAGCATAAAAATAAAACATCCAGACATTAGGGTATCTATCATTGTGTTACGTTACATACTAATGAAGAGACACCATCCTTTCACCTGAACAGACTCTGAAAGAAGCAAGGAAGTCAACAGGACTGTCCTCTGCCAATCGCACCACACAATCCAGGTAATAGTGCAATACATGCAGAGAGCAGGGGCAACAAGGTTCCTGTGCTAAGCTTTAGATGAGTCAAGCATGCAAGACACATCAAACGCTACAAAGAAAGCATGGGGAAATATTCCAAGGTCGCTGAGCACCAACCTGATGGAGGTTATAGTAGGAGTCACCCTTTTTTATAAAGCTCCATTAGGTTCTAAGCAAAACACCAAAAACTGAGCCTTCCCAGAAGAAACACTCATCGGAATGCTACACTACACTATCCAATAGTCTGGGATCTACTGTTCAATAAGTTACTGCTACTCAAGAGGAGGGTGAGGGAATTTCCCATCCTCGTATGTGATGAGAAAAAGAAATCTTGCTCCAAGTAGCAATCTTATTTCACAGTAATTAATTCTCTGCTTCTTCCATTTTTGAAAGCATGAAAGTACTTTAGATGCCTTCAACTGAGAATCATTAATGGTCAGACCACCTAGCCCAGGACTACCTAAGAAGGAAAGACAGGAAAGAGAGTCAAACATGCAATGAGATCACAAGCATGTTCTAGCGTTCAAGGCTGTTCTCCCCTTACTTCTGCTTCCTCTCCGTGGTGGTGTAGGCCCAGATGTGTGGGGAGGTCTTTATCTGGGGGAATAAGATCTCCCTTCAGATTGAAGCGTGCCTGCATTGCCTATTGGAGAAAGAAACAAATAAAATTATAACCTTTATTGCCTACTGTGCCATTCAGCTATTCTACCAATTTAGCTGCTCACACTTAGTAGGATCTAAATCCCTTAACTACCCAAGCCAACTTTTACCATTTTTTGCTGACAACATGTTCTAGGGAAGGGGACCTCTGGCCTAGGGACCAAATGTGGTCCTCCAGGTCTCTCTGTCTGGTAGGGTTATAAATGCATAGATATAAAATAACCACCAAATGACACCTTGAACCTAGGTTACGGCCACCACAATGGACTGTCTAGGTGCCATTTTCTTTTACAATGAAATTATTATTATTATCATCATCATCATCTCTATATCGCTTTATATTTTAAAGAAAAAATGTCTCAGAACAGTTTCCAACACATTAAAACATCAAATAAAACAATACAGGATTAAACAGCGACAAGACATCTCCACAGATCAGTCAGCCGGCTGCCACGCAGCAGTGTCTTTTGATGCTGGGATATTGGGGGGGGGGGCAGCAGAAACTGCTACTGTACACCAGCCAGATGGTGGAGATGTTAGTTGCCAAACCTGATGACAAGACATCTTCACATGGTCACAACTGAACCCGCAACTGGTGCCTGGGCGATTTCAAACACTGCTGTCTGGCCTTTGGGGTTCTCTGTAGGCCAAATTGACTCTTCCAGGCCACACCCTCCTTGAGAGCTTCTGCCTGGCTAGAATGTCTCCTTGAACTGAGATAATGCCTCTTGCTTGCCTGGAAGGAGGATGGAAAGTGGTGTGGGGGTGGGTGGGTGTAGAAACAGCTTTTTCATGGCTGGAGTGTAATCTACTGTTACCAAGGCAAGAGTCACACCCATTGCTCTTTTGCTTCTGCCCCCTGCTGGGATGCAGCCTGCCCCCCGCCCCCCGAAGGTTGCCATAAAAGAAGGCAGCCCTCAGGCTGAAAAAGGTTACCTACCAATTTTCTAGGGGGAAGTTAATCTGAAAGCAAGAAAGAAGGGACTATGTTTTATTCTCCTGACCTTTTTGGTTTTCTTCTGCCGAGGTTCAGGGAGGTCCTTCAACCACTGCAGCTTCTCCAACTCCACAGTGTCCATGTGGAGCCACTCTTTCTGAGGCTTCACTGGAAGGTCACCACCTTTTGGGAAAGGCAAAGGCAGACATTGTTATTCCTGAGCGTGAAAGCAGAGCATGCATCACTTTCATTGTCAACATTTGTGGCTCTGAAGAAGTGCATCAAATACTGCTTTTATGACACTACAAGGGGAAGGGAAAAAAGCTCAGAGACTGACTCATCATTGATACATAAACATCAAAGGTCCACCAACAGTTTAATCTTCCATAAGATCTGGAGAAGGAAAGTGGATGGCGCCGTTAATAAAATTTGCAGATGAAATGAAGATGAGCTGAATATCAACTTGGACGTGGAGTGAATACAATCAGATTAGAAAATCAAGAGCACAGAATAACATGAGGCTAATGATTTAAACTGCACTCCAACAACCCTAAGAAAAGGGTCTCAAAATAAAGATACTGAGGAGAGAAAACCGATAATATTGGAAAGTAAGAGTCTTGAAAGGCAAGTTCAGAGGGCTCCATTATTGCCGTCTCACGAGCGATAATGTTTAGAATTCTGGGTCTTCACAAAGAGCCAGTGAGAAATTGAAGGGGGGGGGGGAATCAACTAATTATACATTTTGGCTCTGCAGCAACAACTGAATAGGAGACTCTGAGCATCGCCAATAAGTTTTTTAATGGTTGGAACACCAAGAAGATCAATTATTTAGCATTATAGACTAGGCAGCAATGGAAGGAACAATTAGCACCTTGACAACCTCTTGAGATAAATCTACTGAGTTAACTCTGGAATATTGTTCTAGGACAATGGGGCTTACAATTAGTAATGGAGTAAGCATCCAAATCAAGTTAAACAAAGCTCTAGTAAAATTACAGTAACAGCTTATTTTCAACCATTACTTATTGCTTATCTTTGGACTACAGTGGTACCTCGGATTACATACGCTTCAGGTTACAGACTCCGCTAACCCAGAAATAGAGTCCGATCTTAACCTGAAACTGTTCTTAACCTGAAGCACCACTTTAGCTAATGGGGCCTCCCACTGCTGCCGCGCCACCAGAGCACGATTTCTGTTCTCATCCTGAAGCAAAGTTCTTAACCCGAGGTACTATTTCTGGGTTAGCAGAGTCTGTAACCTGAAGCACCTGTAACCCAAGGTACCATTGTACATTCATTTTATATTTTTTAAAGAAATGCTGGAATGAAGAACAAACACACCAGTGGGGTGGGTGTGAAGCAGGAAGAAGCAGAAGAGTCTTCTGGTATTTGTTTTTCCCCTCTCCATTAATCACTAAATGGAGAAGGCGGATTAAACCATGCTCTGAGTCAAATTAGTAATGTGTACCACCAGACACTAGTATTGCAATCTTGTCAACAGTGGGGGGAAGACTGTTATGTATTCTAGGGTTATCAGCAGATTGTTGAACTGATGAGAAACCCCTTTAGAGAAACACAACCTGGCAGCCCGGATGGTGAATGTGCATGGAACCTTTCCAAGCTTATGTTTTGTTTTTCAGAATTGGGCGTGCAACATATAGTCAGCCTATAGTGCCATTTCCTGCAGCTTGGCTCTCTCCTGCACACTGTTTTACAAGCACAGCCCCCACCAAGCCAAATCTGCTAAAGTTCTGGCTCTCTGGTTCTCGGATTCAGCCACAGATTCATCGGCACCATGACAGCATAAAGCAGAGTAGGAGGAAGGTGTTGCAGAGAAATGCCTCCTACATACATTAACTGGAGAAGATTACAGAGGCTTTTGCCAGGCTCCCTCACATGCACCATTACGTCTTCTGGGACGTATGGCATAGAGTGCTGTGGAACTTGCACAAGAGGAAGTCTGGTTGAAACCCTGCTCAACAACAGAGGTCCTTGGGCAAGTGTAATAAACCTATTACACTATTTGCTGTGTGGCTAAAATGTTACTAGCCCTTGGAGGAAGAGGGTGCAGATATCACCCCAGGCTTGCAAGCTTCCCCATACTGTGTTCTAGTGCAGCTACAAGGAGATCAGAAGCCTTTGTTGTTGTTTAGTCGTTTAGTCGTGTCCGACTCTTCGTGACCCCATGGACCAGAGCACGCCAGGCACTACTGTCTTCCACTGCCTCCCGCAGTTTGGTCAAACGCATGCTGGTAGCTTCAAGAACACTATCCAACCATCTCGTCCTCTGTCGTCACCTTCTCCTTGTGCCCTCCATCTTTCCCAACATCAAGGTCTTTTCCAGGGAGTCTTCTCTTCTCATGAGGTGGCCAAAGTATTGGGGCCTCAGCTTCACGATCTGTCCTTCCGGTGAGCACTCAGGGCTGATTTCCTTAAGAATGGAGAGGTTTGATCTTCTTACAGTCCATGGGACTCTCAAGAGTCTCCTCCAGCACCATAATTCAAAAGCATCAATTCTTCAGCGATCAGCCTTCTTTATGGTCCAGCTCTCACTTCCATACATCACTACTGGGAAAACCATAGCTTTTACTATACGGACCTTTGTTGGCAAGGTGATGTCTCTACTTCTGATGTCTCAGAAGCCTTAGCTCCTGCTTAACTTCAGTTTAGTGTGTCATTTGAGCCCCAAACTTTGGGTTATTTTTACCCACCTCATCAGTTACCTGTCTATTCTAAGCGGCTGTGGTTCTCCAAGGTTTCAGATAGAGGGGTTTTCAATCGCTTGCTAGCCTTTTAGCTCACAGACAGCCAAGAGTGAAACCAGGGGTCATCTGCATGTGAAGCAGCACTGGGCAATATATCAATATATAGCTCAGGACCGGTATTGGGAGGAGACCGTGACGACAGCTTCACTTGGCGGTATATCGGTGGTGAAACCACCATTGCACTCTGCCCTGGCAGAGGGAGAAACAAGTTGGATCGGTAAGTTGCCAATACAGCTTGTTCCTCCCTCTGCTTCTTTGAACTGCTTGGGCTGAGGAACGTGCTGCTGCCCTCCTCAGCAAAGCTGTTTCAATGAGGCTCCGACCCGCCACTGGCTCACAGGAACCAGTGGTGGGATGGGGGCTCATCGCGGCTGCTCAGCTGGGAAGCGCGAAGCCTGCCCTTCCCAGCTGAGAGAGCCCCGCCCCTGCTCCTGCTTGCACTCAAGTAGGAGCGGGAATGGGGCCTGCAGCCTTGCTTGGCTACCACCTGGCTGCCTTCGCCTTGGGGTGCATGCTGTGCCTTTCCTCCCAGAAAGACGGAGCCCACCCTCCTGGTAGAAGGCAACCAGGTGGTGGAGGGGCTCTTTGATGATGCCGGCAGGTCTGCCGCTCGCCAGCAGCCCCTCTCCGCAAGGGGCAGATAGGGTGGTTTTGCACCACCTTGCGGACTTTGCCCAGGAAGGTGGGCTGGAACTACACTGCCATGTTGAAAACCCAACATCGCCCAGCCCCTAATGTGAAGCGTGCGCTCTGTCACTGAGCTCTGATTGCAAGCTGCAATCTCTGCTTCCACTCCAGCAAAGAAAGTCCACTGGGGATTTCGAACCCCTTTCGGAGGAAGGATGGGATATAAATCTAATAAATCAACACACCCTTGTTACGGAAAGCACACTGTGGCCCCACCTGAGAGGGACCTTGAGAATCAGAAGCCCAAATCGTTGACCTTGTTGAGAATGGGTTTCCCCTTCTGAATTAATTGCTCTCTTCCCGTTGCAAGCACAGGCTGCCTTCTTCCCTCTGGCAACATGGCTGCTAAGTCTATTCAAGATGCATTTACTCCTTGGCATCAACAGTGGCAGCTTTCCAATGCTAAGTGCTAATGCAAAATTAATAATACGTCTCCTGCTGGGCACAATGTGCTGCATGCATAACCTCGGGCAGCTTGAAAAGCTCCATTGATTTTTATAATTGCTCCTCTCTTCCCAACGATATACTAAGTCACCCCATGGACAGTTGCCCTTCCTTGGTTCAACACACCTTTCCCTGTCCTCCCAGAACCAAGTTCTGCTTCCCTCCGCAATCACATCTTGCTTCTACTCTCCCAATATGCCATCTCATAAATCCTTTGCTATCAATCTGCTGCTATCTCCACATTTTTTAAGGCTCAAAGGACCTTTTCCCCCCCATCCTGGTGCAGAGGAAATACCCAACACTTCTCTTCAAGCAGTGCACCTTAACAAGCTATTGTTCTAGCGCCAGCCTGCTAAAAACTAAAACCCAATGCAGGAAAGCATATGAAATTGTGGGGGGAAGAAATTGTGGGCAGGGGAGGGGAAGCAGCTCTTGCGGAAGTGCTAATCCACCTGCTCTCGCTTCTTCTCCCTTCCCTCCTCTTGCACATTAAAGCTGCTCTCTCAAGAAGAGAAACAGTAAACACCACCCCTTATCGCACCAAACCACACCGCTCAAATCCAAGAGCGATTCAAAGATCTCATTAAGCAGGCTCCACGAGGCAGGGAGACCCAGAGAATATAGCACAACAAAGGATCAGACAGAAGGAAACAGCCAGCGCAAGTATGGGGCCGGGGCAGAGAGGCAGCGGAGAGGTAAAACACTCAAGAAGAGAGGAATGCAACAAGGCGGGAGGGAAAGGAACAGGATGAAAAAAAGAATAATAGCAGGGAAGTTTCGAATTAAAGCTTACGACAGAGCAGGTCTGCACAAACTGTGGCCAACAGAGCCAAGCACTACTGGCCACGTATCGTGGGCTGCCAGGTATCTGGCAATCCAGAAAGCTACCTTATACCAAGACAGTCCACTGGTCCATCCAGCTCCGTATCCTCTGCACTGATTGAAATTGACAGGGCTCTCTCCCACCAGCCCTACGTGGGGAGATGCCAGGGACTGAACCTGGGACCTTCTGCGCTCAAAGCAGATGCTCTGCCACTGAGCTAGGGCCCTTCCCCTTGTTTCTGCAGTCCCAAGAACTCAGTAAAACCAAGGAGGTTAACTGTCCTCTTGGATCGACTTCATGGGTCGTGGTTTGTTTGTTAAGGGAAGCACAGAAAGCTGCCTTGTGGCGAGTCAGGCTGTTGGCCCACCTGGCTCAGTTAGCATCCATGATGGCAGGCAGTGGCTCTCCAGGATTTCAGACTGAGGCCTCTCCCAACCCTACCTGGACAACTCAGAGCCTTCTGTCTGAAAGCTCCTGCTCTATCACTGAGCTGCAGCCCTTCTGGAATACACTTGGAGCTTTATTGTAACGAAATGCTGAGGCAAGGACCTAAAGAACAGGATCCCCAAACTGACCAAGATGAAGGCCTCAGAGATTCTGGCCTGACCCCTCAAGGTCTCACATTTGCAACTGAAATGAAGCCCTGAGTGTGCTCTGCTTTCTCTTTACCATTTCTTCCTCCCATCACTGTGGAAATTAAGATGTAAGTTCCTTGAGGCAGAACCTTTTCTCTCCCCTCCCCACCCTCAATTTTTTTTTTAATGCCTTCCCTCATTGTCTGGGGATAACAGAGGCAATGAGCAATTGCTTTTGGCTGTCCTTTAGCAATAACAGCCTGCAGGTAACTCAATCTGGACCCACTAGCCAGATCACTTAAGTACAGGAAACAGAAAGGGACCTGCAGATATGGCGAGAGTACAAAGGGTATTATTGATCCATATCATCATCAGAACACAAGCTCCAGCAGAAGCCCACAGGTCCCTCTTACGGATTTGACTCCAATCTTGAGGCATCATAAACAATGTATTTCCTCCAATACACATATTATCCCCATTCCTACAATTTGAAGGGGATGGAAAGTGGGTGCCCCTCTAGCCTGCCAATCAACCAATACCTCAAGCTGTGTGCCTTTTAAGCCTAGATAATCCACACTGAGGACGAATATACCGTAATCTAAACACAGGATTCTTAAACCTCACAGGATTTATCTGTCTTGGGAGAGATTCCAGCTAGCTTTAAGCAGCTACCGAAATCTGCTTCCTCCACCCACAACCCAAGGCCTTTTGTTCACAGCAAGTTCTAGTTTGGAGGAGTAACTCCACTTGGCAGTCAATCTCCTTCCCGAAAGCCACAACAATTTCTCACTGGCTTCACCCAACCCCGCAGTGCTGTAGAAGCCGCAATGGAGACCGAGCTACATTAGCAGCTTCTGCAGGTGCAGCCGCTAAAATCTGTTCTGTCTTATCTTCACTCACTTCTGCAGCGCAAGCCGCCAATGATGTGGTTCCTGGACTCATTGCTAGCATACTTCTTTCTCCAGCCCCCAAACTTCCTACTGTTCATCCTTGTTCTCCAATCTCACAAATCAGATCCTTTTGCTGATTCTTCCTACAAAGCCTCTGCCCAGGTACCTAATTTGACAGCTCCGTTGTTAACTTCAAACACATCGCTTCTGGGAATCAAGATATAAAAGCCAGGCCCAGAATCACCTTGCAGTAAAAATGGGTTTAGGGTCATCTCAGAGTGGAAGCAGAAAGAGACTGTAGCTGAAAGAGACTGTGGGGGCAGGGGGAGTCCCCGAAGCGGGCATATGTTCACAAGGAGCAGGTAACGTTGCCATATAGTGCCACACAGTGAAAGAATCAGCAGCCGCAAATATATATATATATATATATATATATATATATATATATATATATACACAAAACCCAAACATATTGATTGTTCCCAAAGGACACGCAGCCTGCCAAGAAGTGAAAGTGAAGGTGCCATTCAAAACTACTCTTATCAGCAGCTGCATCTGTAGTTGCCATACTTTTCATCTCTGCCACCCCTTGCCAGAGAGTATTGCAACACCAGCAAATATATGAAAACTGCATGTAGCAAGTTTCCCACCCCTACACCCCCTGAGGTTGGGTCAGGTAAAACAGCCTCTTCTTAGTTGTACGACAAAGCAAAATTACGGTCCTGCAATTGTTTCATTTGCACAACAGATTTGAGTTGAGAATACTTGGCCTCTAGAATTGAAGCAGTGATCAAAACCCTGGAAGAACAAGCATGTATATTATATGGAAACTTGGATATTTTGCTCATCCATTGCAACAACGCGTAACTTTTCCTTACCTGTGCTATCCTCCATTCTTGTACCAACTTCTGTTTGCACGGACTCCTCCATGCCCTCCTCCTCTTCCATCACTGGCTTCTGTAACAAAGGAGCTTTCAGAGTTTCTTCTGCTTCATGCTGGGGTCTAGGCTGCGTTTCTGGATGAAGAAGCTTTCCTGGCCTCTCATGCTGCTTTTGGCTTTCTCCTTCCCGAGTTACCTTACCATCACGTTGTGACTTTAAGAATGCAAGTAAACCAGGATCTGATAACCATGAAAATGGGACAAAATACTGTCAGCATTAAAATTCCTCCTTGATGCATGCGTCAATTCTTTGAGTCAATAGTGATTGACGCTATTACAGTGGTACCTCGGGTTAAGTACTTAATTCGTTTCGGAGGTCCGTTCTTAACCTGAAACTGTTCTTAACCTGAAGCACCACTTAAGCTAATGGGGCCTCCCTCTGCTGCTGCACCGCCGGAGCACAATTTCTGTTCTCATCCTGAAGCAAAGTTCTTAACCCGAGGTACTATTTCTGGATTAGCGGAGTCTGTAACCTGAAGCGTATGTAACCCGAGGTACCACTGTATTATTATTATTAATAATAATAATAATAATTGTTGTTGACAATATAAAAACATAAAAATGCATAACATAGTAACCAGCAAAACCAATATCCCCACTCATATCCTCATCAGGTCCCCTCCCACCTGGCCTTCAGACAGATGACTGCTTTTCAGGTTGCAAGTTAAAGACACGATATCACATTTGTGTCTCAGAAGCATCCCGTCCAAAAAAATTAATGTAAGCAGCTATCTTCAACAGACCCATGAGGTCTGTGAAAGAGGCTTTGCAGTTTGTGTGCCTGTTACAAAGTCAGCTGCATAAATTAAACATGCCAACAGGAAATCTTCAAGCGTGGAAGCGAGTCCTGGGAATGATTCCACATGTCTGAAGCTGGCTTTGCTGCTTTGGACAATGTTCTTTTGTGTAGAGTTCATGTTATGTTTCGTGCTTTCAAAACTGAAGGTAACTGCCCTGATCCTTAAAAATCAGAGGGGGGTTAATCCAAATCACTGAATAAGGTGTACAGAAGTCAGCAAGAAGTTCGTACCTAGCTGAGCCAGCAGTCGTTTCTGCTCCTCCAAGATCTGCTCTTGAGACATGGACTGCAGCTTCTCCAGGTTCTCCTTGTGGATGTTCTGGGCTTCTTGCTCTCCTCCCAGGCTTCCAAGACCTTTCCCAGTGACAATACTTAAACGCTGACTGTGTACACTACCAGCAGGCATATCTAGAAACAAAGGGCACTGTGAGCGGTATTCATAAGCAAACTTAAACTGACAACATACTCCACTGAGTTGATTTACAATCTGGTGCATGTAGTCTCAGACATTAAGTCCCACTGAGTTCAATGGTGCTTACTCCAATGTAACTGTGCGCAGGATCACCACCACAATGCTAGGGCTCACCAGCACAACCTTTTAAGGAGATATTTGCTTCTCTATGCTAATATTCAATAAGCATCTTCAAGGCTTCCACATGCCATCGGGAACTGATAATACTTGCTCCACAGGTATGAACATTTACCTTCCTCACCCCTGCGGAATTGGGTCTCCATGGCTTCAGAAGGTAGGGCAGCATCTGGAGCTGCTGGTCCTACATTTGTCTGCTCAGCTTCCTCAAGAGAAAGAGAAGATATTTGAGCCACTTCGGCTGCCCTCTTAGCAGCTATCTTCTGAGCAAAGATACTTTTCTTTCCAGCTGCTGATTTTGCCTGCAAGACAAAACAGCAAGTAAACACTCCTATGCCTTTCTCATATAACAAAAAAAACCAATTCATCAACATTCCTGCCACCCGCTCCAATTGGGTCAATATGTGTTATCCAGATTTTCTGCTGCCTTCAACATGGATTTCTATATTGTGTCCTCAACTGCAAGCTGTAGATTAGAGAATTTTAAGGGGGTGGGGTGGAGAGAGACAGAGTCACAGCCCCTCCTCACTCTTTCCGAGATACGATGTAATATATTACTTCGCTGTTAAGTGTTTAAACACCAGGAAGAGGAAAATAAATACATTTCTTGACAAAATGCAGCAAGCAAGAAAGCATCTGGTTGTAGGTAAATTCTGGCTAGCTTGTTCCACTCTGCCTCTATGATTAATCCAAGCGTCTGCTTATCTGAACACTTTGCATTTCTGAGGATAAACAGACTTCACTGTCTTGGAAAAGCCATCTCTGAAGATTTTGGGACCGTAAGAGGGCAACAATTTCACAGTAATAAATTTGATGAATGATGCCTAACTAATGGATTTTAAAATTTGCATAGTGTCTACACTCAGGCTCTATCAGAGACTTACTATTGTTAAGAAAAAAGCAGCATGAAGCATATCCACCTTGATGATACTAAGCCAAGAAGCTGCGATGGAAAGAAAAATGATATATTGCTACAGCCAAGATTACACAGCCGATATGCACACCATGAACTGTGTGGAAACTGGTAGCAGAGTTTCTGTGGATGCAGGTTTGCTTCCCTCCAACAAGAGCCAAAACAGCTGGATCAGCATGCAAAAGCCTGTCTGTGCATGAAGAGACTCTCTGGATCCCGGCCCATGTCTCCCATCAGCATATTAAAAAAAGGAGACAAATAGTAGCACCTTCTATATTCAAAATGGCAAAAACCAACATTGCACACCACAATAGAAAACTATGCAATGTGCTTGAAAGACTGGCTTTTTTATTTAAAAAACAAAACAGCATTCCCTGTAACAAGCTTTTCAGATGCCCCAGCCCTTCAAGTCCATGCTGTCTCCCAGGAGACAAAACTCTTGCATGCTCTCCCCTTCTCTCCGTTGTTTTCTGAGCTGTTGCCTCCTAGAGCTCCAATCAGTAGTCTGGTGGGAGTGTCTGCCAATTCTGACTGCAGCTCCCATAGTACAAATGTAAGTGAATAGGCCAGAGGCGCAGGCAAAGACAAGGCCACACCTCAGAAACCCCAGAAAAAGAAAACGTTTTGTAGCATGCCAAAAATGCAGTTCAGACTCCCCTGAACTAGGAAGAAACCCAGGTAATTTCAGGGCTCTGCTAAGTTTTCATAAATGACAATGGTAGTAAAAACTGGGCAGAGAACCACTGGAAACACACGTAACTGCACAGAAGTAAGGAAAGTGCTTTGTAAAGGGCACTGAAGGAATGTGATAGATAATGTATTGCTTTATCTTACACTTCACTAATGTGAATCCACCACTCAGTGCTAGCAGGTATCCAAAAGTTTAGAATGGCTTCCTTCATCAACTTTGGAAATATGAAATAACATGTTCGGTACCGTTAGCCTAAACTTCACCAGGAAGTGGCGTGACAATGACAACCGGAGTCACAAAAACCTGCTCTATTTCCAGACCTTGCCACCAAGGGCACAAACCAAATCAAGGGCATGTCCCACACTTGGGGTCAAGCTGGTGACCCCTCGAGGAAGTCCCATGGTTGTCATGAGCCAGACACTGCCTCCCAAAATCCAACCAAAGCCCAACAATGTCCCATCCATCTAGCAGACTCATCACACACAACTGAAAATCTAACACGTGTGCTTTTAACGTAACTCACTGCATCCAGTTTGCCGAGTCTCCTATGTAACGCCCTAGAAGCTCCAACACTTCCTCTATTTATTTAAAGCATTTTTGGCTGCACAACAAAGTCCATCAGCAGCAGATTGCATTATGATGAAGCATAATACACAGAACTAAAAGAAGAAGAGTTTGGATTTGATACCCCACTTTATCACTACCCGAAGGAGTCTCAAAGTGACTAACACTCTCCTTTCCCTTCCTCCCCCACAACAAACACTCTGTGAGGTGAAGGTAAGCTAAACAAAGCAGAAACAGGAGGAGAGGGGGCTGATAAATGTGAAGCTGCTTTTCTTACCTCTGTTTTTATTTCGGACCTGTGAAAGACTCTGGGAAACGCATCTCCAGTGAAGACAGGCATGGTCACGTTAGCAGTGCTTGTGTCACGTTCCTGCCACAAAGACACAATGCCAAATGAATACTGGTTTCATTCATTAAAGTATTACAGTGCTTTACAATGGCTCAGCAGAAGGCGTTTGGCCTTAGACTCCTGCTCAGGTCTTTCCTCAGCTATGAGACAGTAGCTGTTGCAAAAACTCCTCACTTCAAATTTCATTTTGTACTTGTCTAAGAGTGGCCTACTTCTAAGAATGAAAGAGGCGCTAGGTTCATCAGAATTGGACAAGGACAGTTCCATCCTTTCTCCAGAAAAAGCATAAAATTGTGTCACTTGAGAGATGCGTCACTGAAATACACTTGCCAACCATCAACACTTCCATGTTTTTTTAAAAAAAACTTTCATTATATATTTTTGAAGACAATGTAGCATAAATTGTAAAAAGGCCAAGAGACCAGAAACAAATTCTTACTAGACAATAAAAATATTATCTTGGCATTAACAAAACCGGTGTTGAATCGTCAGTTAACCCATGGATTTCTAGCAACAAATACAATGATGCAGCTGTGTCCTTCACAAGGTGTAATTTCACAACTGAAGCATATCTGCACATGCCTATATCCAAACAGGCTACTAAATATTTGTAACTTCATTATTCGTAACTGAGGTCAATGAGACTTGCTTCCAGTTAAGGGGGCAGAGAACTGCCGCCTTTCTAACAGAATGACTGACAGCCTCTGTCACATCCAGAGGCTGCTGATGGCAGGGTGGAGCCGAGATACTTACTTGGCTTCCCAGCAGGTTAGTCATGGCTGTTTACTGGGGGTAGGGGAGGTCAGTGCGGTGCATACGCACAGGGTAAGTCAATCTGGGCACCCTCGCCCTGCTCTCTCCTAGAAAGCTGAGGTAAAGGTAAAGGGACCTCTGACCATTAGGTCCAGTCATGGAAGACTCTGGGGTTGTGGCGCTCATCTCGCTTTATTGGCCGAGGGAGCCGGCATTTGCCCGCAGAAAGCTTCCGGGTCATGTGGCCAGCATGACTAAGCCGCTTCTGGTGAACCAAAGCAGTGCATGGAAATGCCGTTTACCTTACTGCCGGAGCGGTACCTATTTATCTACTTGCACTTTGATGTGCTTTCGAACTGCTAGGTTGGCAGGAGCAGGGACTGAGCAACGGGAGCTCACCCCATCACAGGGATTCAAGCCGCCGACTTTCTGATCGGCAAGTCCTAGGCTCTGTGGTTTAACCCACAGGGCTAATAACTGTTAGTGAATATATGATGTCATTCAAAATATACGAATAAGCCACCTCAAAATGATGTATATATCATACAACACATCTCACAAAACATTCAAGTAACTACAAGTTGTTATACGTATCAGAGTCAAACAAAGAATCAAACAAATCAATGAGTAGCGAGGAACGCCAAGCTGTCTCTCAAAGGAAGATGTCTCACAAAAGTGTCTAAAGGACAGTATAACTGTTTCAGAATAAAGTCTTCACCAGTGAATAATTATCAATGAAATATTCATACTAGTAGGGATCATGCTAGTGGGCACTGATCCACTAACGTCCAGCGTGCTGCGTTTGCATTTTTGTAGATTGTTACATTTTGCAACACAGGGGTTTGTGTTTATTCAGATTACTCTGAGTAATCTGCCAGAAGGTCAGGTAAGCGCCTTACTACCACCTTGCCTGTTACCAGTCATTTCAGGACCTCATACACAAATTTCACACCTAACAACTTGTTCGCAACATGGGCTAAGTTCTGCTTGACCTTTTCTACTGGGGCACACATCCCCAAATATAAAATAAATGTGTCTCATGTCAAATACCAAGGGAATCTTAAACAGATATATGTACCTCGAAACAAGGACATGGTAAAATGCATGTTGGTAAAATATATGTATACACAGTTTTGATAGCCAATCCATGTGTTTTGCTCTTGGGTATATGAAGCCAAGCTCTAGTGTAGCTACTACACTAAAGAGCTCCGGCAGCAGGGCTAAGAAGGACCATTGACCTCATAGAATCACAGAGCTGGAAAGGATCCAAGGGTCATCAAGTCCAACCACCTGCAATGCAGGAACCTCAGAGAGCACCTGTCAGTAAGGTGGCACTCACTCCATACAAAGCAGCTTCCTATAAATTCAGTAGTCAGAAGGTGCCTTTGAGCCCCAGAAGGCTTCATTTCCCAGCAAAAGAAGAATAAATTAAACAACAATAAGTAAAAACGTGTATAATTACAAATTACATAATTTCTGCTTTGGAATGTGTGTGTGCAATATCTGGGTTACTCTAAAGGATTATATCAATTTAATTTTAAATGCATACTGCCCCAGCTTGAGTATTTATCAATAATTACCACAGGTCAATCAGAGGTTTAATCACTATTATTGTAGTTCTTATAAACAGGACGCACAATTATTTTGCTGAAGACAGCTGTGATGTGTTGATCACTGCGATCCAACTGCTCTCCTGGATCCTCATCAAAATGAACACGGGCACTTTTGAATTTGGATTTTTTGGGAGGTGCTGGTGTCAGTGGAGGGGGCACATCAGGAAAGTCTGAGAGAGAGAGAGAATATGCAAAGCATTAGTAATCTCCAGGTGTTTTATGGTGTTTTAGTATTTTGCTGGAGCAACCCAGTCAGATGGGAGGCATATACAGTGGTACCTCGGGGTAAATAAGCTTCAGGTTACATACGCTTCAGGTTACAGACTCCGCTAACACAGAAATAGTACCTCGGGTTAAGAACTTTGCTTCAGGATGAGAACAGAAATTGTGCTTTGGCGGTGCGGTGGCAGCAGGAGGCCCCATTAGCTAAAGTGGTGCTTCAGGTTAAGAACAGTTTCAGGTTAAGAACAGACCTCTGGAACGAATTAAGTATGTAATCAGAGGTACCACTGTATATAAAATAATAATAATAATAATAATAATAATAATAATTAAAAGATGCCCTTAATTCCAACTGGGTTGCCGTCTAGTCTTGACAACAATCTGGCACCAAAAATGGCTGCTTTGCAAACAGAAAGAGGGATGGCTGGGAACAGTAGCACGTGCAGGCAAGGTTACAGTAAGAAAGCTGTTCAAATATACCTAGCAACTTACAGGCAATGAATAAGTGATTTTGGTTTTTGTTGACTACTAAACCAGCTTTCCCCAATCTGCCGTCCTCCAGATGGGACTGATGGGAGTTGCAGTTCAAAATATTCAAACAGCACTAGGCTGGGGAAGGCTGTACTAAACCATCAATACAAAACAAGATAATTTGAAATGAAAAAAGTTAAACTTACCATCCAGCATCACCACATCCCTGTCAAGCTGCAATGGGGGTCTCTCATCCTCTCCACTCCCCAGATCCCCTCTTCTCTTATCTGCTTTCTTTACAACCTTCACCGCCGGAGAAGCTTTCGCTGCCAGGAACTGATTCTGGAACTTCAGCAAATCTGCCTCCGACTCCCCAGGCTTGGGCCTTGACAACATCTTTCTCCTTTTGTAGTTACAGCCTTCCTTTACAGAGCTTAAGGGTTAACCTGAATCAGGTGCAGAGAAAGGGAGGAAAGGAACTTTACCTGGGAAAACAAGCTTTTGACGAATTCTTATTACCCTCTACTTTCACACACTTTTCAAATACCCCGAAGGGCCACAAAGAACAGGACTATTAATGGACAGCCCAGACATGTCAGTGGCCTCCCCCTCTCCCACCCCAATTAAGGTGCCCTGCTCTGACACTCATTTGAAACCGGAAATTTGTGCAGAATAGTTGTTGCACAATTCTCTGCAAACACATTCTCATGCCAAAAGGGGGAGGAAACACAGTGTTATTGCTGCTGTGGGTGCTATTTTAGGAAGGAGACAGAATACACACACACACTCTGCAATCCACCTGCCTTTGATGTGACTTCTGCACAAACGGCTGTTTCTAAAGTGCTCCTTCCTTTCTTCTGTTCTTCACAGCACTTTTCCCCCAGTTTATGGGAGCTTCAGAGGAAATAGTAAGCGAATCCCAACAAAATGGTCAACTTTTTGTATGCACAGTAGCGCTATGGGGCTTCAGGGCCCAAGTGTTTGATATCCTAGAGAAAATGACTTCAAAAGACCGCCACAGAGCAAACTGCAACCGCTCACAGGGAAACATACTTGTGATCAAAGTTTCCTTCTGTCTTTGTCCTCCTTTCAGAACAAAATATGACATATTTGTATACTTACTCTTACCTAGGCAGCAGTGGCCTAGTGGTCTGAGATCACAGAGGGTTGAAGACCCATTCATTACTATTTCTGCAGCAAGGTCCCTGCAAGGTCCTTGTCTCCAGTGTCCTAAAAAAGGTAAAGGTAAAGGACCCCTGACAGTTAAGTCCAGTCGCAGATGACTCTGTGGTTGCGGCGCTCATCTCGCTTTACAGGCCAAGGGAGCCGGCGTTTGTCTGCAGAGTTTTTCCAGGTCATGTGGCCAGCATGACTAAGCTACTTCTGGCGCAATGGAACACCAAAACCAGAGCGGCACATGGAAATGCTGTTTACTTTCCCGCCGGAGCGGTACCTATTTATCTACTTGCACTTTGGAGCTGGGACTGAGCAACAGGAGCTCACCCCGCCATGGGGATTCAAACCGCCAACCTTCTGATCAGCAAGCCCAAGGGGCTCAGTGGTTTAGACCAGTGCCACCCACGTCCCTTCCAGTGTCCTACAGCCACTGTATTGCTAAGCATTTAGGAACACCAAAAACACAAGGTGCTTCTTTTTCAAGAAGCAGGTGTGCAGGTTCTGTTACATACAAGGGAACTTCATGGAAAACACAATTTAAGTCACTCCAAAAGAAGATACCGGATCACTCCAAATCATTTGCCCATGTGCGTGCACAGAAAATAGTAGCTGAAAGGCAACCTGTGGAGACCTGCATTGATTGTTGCAATGCATCCCTAATTATTAGTATTGTATAATTTATAAAATTGTTGCATAATCTTAGAAGGGGCGTGGTTGTATCATGAAGGCACCCTGCACTTCTAAATTTCCCACTGCTCTACTGCTAAGCAGTCCAATGAGGTCTTTTGTTTTAAAGCACAACTTAAAACTTTCAAGGCACAACTTTAAGTCAGCAACACCCAACAAACATTAACAGACACCCCTCATGTCAGAGCAATCGATACTAGTGGCCCAGAGTGATACCAGAACAGACCTCCTAGCAACTCAACTTTCACAATCTGAAGGCGAAACCATGTAAGGCCCTTGGTCCAAGATAAATGTTATGAAATGCTTTTACAGGAAGCATGCCAAGGAAGAGAGTAATTTTATTTTATCTCTTTTCAGAATCAGATCTAGACCTGATTGAAACATTACTGAAAGCAGATATTCTGAAACAGATATCCAAGGGAACACCTTTGGTGTAGTGGATAGTTTTTGGGATAGGGCAGGAGTGGCTTGCCTGGTGTGAGAGAGTTGCAGCAATGTCATCCTGGCAGGTGTATCACTGCTGCTTAACAGAAAGAGGGGCAGGGCAACGGAGGGGGTCAAGCTGTGTGGGTGCAGCAGCGGGAATGCAAGATTGGTTCCCCCAGTGTACTTGCACAGCCCTGACATCCCCACTGCCTCATCCCTCCCTGTAAGCAGCAATCATGTCTCTGCTGGGAGGCTATTATTACAGCTCTGTCCCACCAGATGAGCAGCTCTTGTTCTAGGACTTTAGAGAGCAGAGTTCAGATCCCCTCTTAGTCATGAAGTTCATTGGGTTGACTACTCACTGTCTTTTGGCCTAACCTACCTCACAAGGTTGATGTGAGAATAAAATGGGGAGGGAACTCTGAGCTCCTTGGATGAAAGGTGGGATATAAATGTAAAAATAAATATTTTACATAAATACACATATACACCATATATCTGAAGGAGCATCTCCACCCCCATTGTTCAGCCTGAGGTCCAGCTCCAAGGGCCTTCTGGCAGTTCCCTCACTGCAAGAAGTGAGGCTACAGGAAACCAGGCAGAGGGCCTTCTTGGCAGTGGCACCTGCCCTGTGAAATGCTCTCCCATCAGATGTCAAGGATATAAACAACTTGACATCCCATCAGATGTCAAGGAAATAAACAACTTTAGAAGACATCTGAAGGCAGCCCTATTGAGGGAAGTTTTAATGTTTGATGTTTTATCGCTTATTATTATTATTATTATTATTAATAATAATAATAATATTCTGTTGGAAGGTGCCCAGAGTGGCTGGGGAAACCCAGCCAAATGGGCAGGGTATAAATAAATTATTATTATTATTATTATTAATGTAGTAACATATAAATAAATAAGAATAAAATGCAGGCACACTTCATTGGTTGTGCATCTATGCCTTATTTGCCGCTTACACTTTTAAAATAAACATTAAGCCTTCACTTCTGCCAATTTTAAATAGGTAAGGGGCAAATTATGCATCTGTTGCACATCAGCGAGAGACATATACTTTGCTCTCAAGTATTAAAAACAGAGTACAAAAAATTGTGTGAGAAATCACCATTAATACTCCTATTACAAATTCCACCCACCTTATATGTGTTCAAACTATATTCTGTGCGTGTAGGCTGGATGAAGTCCAAAGGGTAAGACTCAAGTTCTGACTAGACTAGAACTTAAAATGCTGCTTGAGTTGTGTGAAACAAATTAGCCATCTTTTGATTGTGCATCCTGTATATTACACAACTTTTAGAAGACATCTGAAGGCAGCCCTGTGTTGGGAGGTTTCTAACACTTGATGTTTTAGTTTTGTTTTTAGCTATGCTGTAAATTGCCCAGAGTGGCTGGGGAAACCCAGCCAGAAGGGTGGTGTATAAATAATAAAATTTACTACTAATATTAGCATTATTATTATCATTTACACTGCCCTGCTGTGTTATACCTTCCTGCAATTTTCTTCATGCTTTTTTTATCTCCCCACCCCAACCCCAGTGCCACCACCACCGCTGCTGTGATGTCATCGTCTATGGATGGGACCAGCGTCATTCATTTCTGATATCATGCCATACGAAAAGGCACATCAGCTCTGGGCAGAAGAAATCCAGGGCTTAAGTCTTTAAACTACATTTTAAAAAAGGAAAACACACTTAAACTTCTACAGTAGTGCAGAGAGTTCATAGAAGACCACATGCTGCTTCTAATGAGTGTTTGGGCATTGAAATTCTAACCTTTTGTTTTTCTACACGAGTTATGTGCCTATGTCTTTCCATTTGTATCAAATTTGGAATAAGGCTGTTAAATTTAATGAGCAAAGAATATCATGAGGAAGATTACAGCTAAACCATCAAACACTTGTGTATGATATGCAAGTTATTTGGCTACTTGTCCTTGACATTCACCAAAGAAAGTAAAAAATCTATAAAGCAAAATATAATGTGTTCTGCAATATCTATCATCTATCTATCTGGACTTCAACACAGGTATTCTTATTGCATGGTACTTCCTTCCTTTTTTCTGTATACTGCAAACCCAGTACCTTAATTATCAGACTTAAACTTCAAGTCCACTCAGACTGCTGGATCTTCCTACAATCTGCTGCAATCACACACAAGGAACCGATGCAATCAGTTTAACCCATAGCTCTGGGAGGACACTTCTGTGTTTGTCTGAATAAAAGTTTGTATTTAAACGTCTAGTTTACTTTTCCAGCAGAGGCCTCAAATGCAATTCATCACATTTCTTTAGAGAATGGGGGGAGAGACTTGTGCTGTTCCTTCCTGGCTCCTGTCTTGCTTCTCCTACTACAACAATGGAGATTTTTTTAAAACAATCAAACAAATAGGCAAAAATCCAGGGCTGAACATGTGCCGCTGCACACATGCCAGAAACCGGTTTTGCCTTTCCTCTGTTCGCAAGTCATTCGCCGATTTCTTTTGTCTATGCAGGTACAGTACCATTGCCTCTTCTACTAGCCTCGCAGATACAACGGGCAGCCCACAGGCCCCAACTCGCCATTAGGGGCCCCTAGAAACAAGAGAATCCGATGCGTGGCAAAGCCCCCTTCAACCAATTCTAGCCTGCAGCTGTGGGGCATTTCCCCAGAGAGAGAGAAACCCGCCTGAATGCACAGACAGCCCCATTGCAAATAAAAACGCCATGTTAGGGCTCGTGTCTTTAAAAGGAGTCCACGGCCCGCTAGGACGCATGCTCCATAGTCCCAAGCGTGCGGGGACGGGATGCAAAGAGTTTTCCGCGAAGGAAACGCTCTCTAGGCATGCTCAGAGGCACTTGAAAGCCCGGGTGCCCGAAGAAGCGGGCGGGCCGTGAGTCCCTAGGCCGCCACAACCTTCCTCCTCCGTGCTAGGAAGACGGAGGCTGCCCACCCAGGAGAAGGAGGAGACGCGGAGGCTGCTGGCGATGCCCACTGACCTGTGCTGCGTGGGCTGCTTCTGCCATCCTTAGAGGGCGGCAGCGGCGCCTCCGCTCAGCCCAGCAGCGCTTTGACGCACATGCCTCTTGCTTCCGCCGCCGCCAGGATGGGGAGGTTTCCCGGGCGGCGCGTCGAGACGAGGCCCCGCCTTCGCTGCCATTTTGGGATGCGGAGAGAGGCGGCGAAGGGAAGCCCCGGCAGCGGCTGGGAGCGACCGGCGACCTTGCCCGGGGCACGGGGGATGCACCCCAACCGCATGTCTATCCAGTTAGAAGTTCGTCCCACTGGTTTCCATGCCCCCCCCCCAAATAGGGTCGCATAGCCGCAGTGCCGGATTTACGCATAAGCTATGTTGTAAACAAAATCTGCCCCTTTTCCCTTATGGGGTATCCAAGAGCACGTATAGAGCTTACGTGGGTTCCCTATTGGTAGGAGAAAATAACAGAGGCCAACCAGAGAATATTGAGAAGCAAAGCGGCTAGTAAGCCTGCTCTTTATTATAGCTGTTGCAACAGGGTCCTCCCTTATAGCTTAGGGCCCCACTCTCTTGGGGCAGCCCAAAAAATTTAAAGGGGAAAAAACTGGATGTGCTTAAGTTAGAGCTTAATAATTATTTCACTATTAATAAACTTATTTTTGTATTTCACTATTAATATACTTCTTAATTGTATTTCAGTTCAACAATTGCTTTGATAAAGTACATATTTTGTTCTGTGCAAATGGCTTTAGATACCTATTAGGTCCATAAATTACCATATAGCATATATTCAACACAAAAACCAGCGACAATTTGTTGTTGCCAAAAGACAGCTGGACATATAAAGGGCCCCAGTAGCTTAAGGGCCTCATCAAACCTAAATCCGGCCCTGCGCACCCCCCAAATAGGGTTGCGTAGCCGTCATCTCCTCTCCTCTGGCTCAGGGTTTCCCCCTTTCGCAAAGGGGTTCTAAGCCCAGGTGGATAAAAGATGCGCAAACCTCTCCCGTGCGATGGGAGCGGGCATGGAGAGGCGGGTCAAGGCCGTGCAGCTACGATTCACCTTGTGAATCTCACTACTGTATAGTGGTTTATAATCATAAGAGTTGGAAGGGACCCCAAGAGTCATCTAGCCCACCCCCACCCCAGTGCAGGAATCCCAACTCAAGAATCCATGGCAGGGCTGAAGAAAGACGTAGTGCTTCACCATGTTAGATACCGTATTGGTAGGATCCTGAACCGGTGCAGTTTTGTGGCTGGACCCAATCATTGTGCACCGGCCTCAAGTGGGCAGGTGTAAATATTACTTGTAAAAACCAAGTGCGATGCTTACAAAATGAATGTGAACTTTAATCTGAAGTGCATGGTGAAAGTGGGTGGGATGGAACAAAGACAGAGTACTAGCAAAATGGTCCATCTGCATTCACCACGGGGGGCTCCATCAGAAGATGGCAATCTCCATAAAACACTCTCCTCGTGCGTCTTCAATATTTTGCTTATTAGAAAGATTTTGAGAGTTGCCTTTCAACTCGGAAACTGGGTATCTAAGTTGACATATGCAGAAGCATTTCAAAAGAGCCAGAATCAACAATGCAGTAAGCATATGCAGCATGATTCAGCAATATCAAAAGCAAGCAGGCGTAATCAGCTAGTGTCTAAAATTCATGACAAAAGAAATATTTTCAAGTGGTGACAAAACCATAAAGCAGAGGTTTTTGACCTTTTTGAGTCCATGGCTCCCTTGACCAGCTATATTCTTTCTGCAGCTCCCCTGTGGGGAAACACGCTCCAAGCCTCAGAAGCCCAGTTATGTCACCCCTTTCCTGCAGAGCTGACAGCCCCTCACCCCTTTTCAAACACCCTCCCTTGTGGAGTGTTCCCTCAACCTCCTCCTCCCACTCCTTGAGGACAGGTGCCTCCTCATCCCACCCCACAGGGGCCTGGAAAGAGGATGTCCCCAGCCTTAACAGCCCAATGGAGACTAACCAAAGGTGACTGTGAGGCAAACAGTCACAAGAATTTGGGAGGCAGAAATGTGAGAGGGCATCAGAGGAGGGAGGTAAGGAAAGTGGGGCAGACTAATGTTGCCCGCAGCACCCCTGACCATCACTCAAGGCACCCCAGGGCACCACGGCACACTGGTTGAAAACCACTGCCGTAAAGTAAGGATGCCAAGTGCCAATTTGATCATCTTAGGAAGCTTATTTTAGGAAGGTTTATATTTTATTACCTGTATTATCTTGACTGCAATTTGTTTTAACTGATCTTAATGTTATATTTTAAGATTGTAACCTGCCCTAGGAGCTCATGGTGAAGTGCAAGTAAGCCTAATAATAATAATAATAGGTACTACAACAGAGAAGGCCCTACTTAGCATCTTACCACAATACAACTAGACATGGAGGGAGAACTCCTCAGATAACTTAAATGAGTGGGTAAACGTGTGGGGAGAATAGTACATACTTGGAACTGTTCTAAAGGGTTCAGTTTCCATGGTGTATTTCTCATGCCAAACAGTGAAAAAAAGGTTTTTTAACCACCTGTGGGTGATTATTGAACACTCCGATTAATCTAACTAAGGAGATAATGTGCCATTCAAGCTGGTGAACAGGGAAGTGGATTCAATTATTTATGAAGAGTGGGTTTCCCCCCACATGTAACACTCTTCGTTTTGCTCTTTGTCTTTAACATAGGTGTAAAAATGTTGCCTAGAATGAACATTTGATTAAAAAATGACCCTCTTTCTCTCTTCATTAGCAACATTATGTGTTACAAATAAGGAAACAGAGACTCAAATATGCTTTCATTGATATGTGCAAAAACATTTCAGTGGTGCTGTGGCCTTTGGCCTCATTTTCATAAAACCATAAACCAAAAAGTGTGGCTTAATGATATTAGTAAAAATACTGTGTGTGGTTAGCATGCAGCTCAGCTGTTCACACAAACACTCCTCCCCTGGTGCAAGTGAGGAAACCAGGGGTGGGGGAACCTCAGGCCTGGGGTCAAATGTGGTCCTCCAGGCCTCTCTAGCCCTTGAGACTCAGTCTAGCCTAGGCCATGCCTCTCAGTAGGCCTACCTTGCTCCATCCCCCCCTTGACTGCATTTCCCTGGTACAAATGTGTCTCTGAACTGTTGCTGTGTCTCTTGCTCACCTGGATGGAGAAGGGTGTGTTGGGGAAATTAAAAAAGAGGTTCCTAGACTGGCAGTTTCCCATACAGAAACCCAAAATAAATGGATGCAGGCTCCAAGTGAAAAGATCAGCCTTTATTGGAATACAAATGAGCATTGGGACAGCCTCAAAAATAAGAAGAAGGCTGCAGGGAACCACATTCAAGGCAATGTTTTGTATACATTTTCAGATCACACGCATCATTTCATTTCACCAGTCAAAGGATCACAGCCATCTTAATAGTTACAACCCAATGCCATCATCCTGAACCAATCAAAATCATTTGGCTCTTTAGATCACCCCTCATCATAATATCATGTGATTATATATAACTATTTTTCAGTGTCTTTCTTTATTAAGACTTTTAACTAATTTTCCTATTCATTAAATGTCTTTCAGTGTCCTCTTTCATCTATCTATAAAACAATTCAAGATTAATAACAATTGCCATGCCTAGCTAATTCTCTCTTTTCAGGCATACAATGACCACCATAGATTCTAGCAATTTATTCTTTTCAGTGTTCTGGAACAGGCATGCACTACATACAGTACCTAAAAGCAGCTAGTTCTGTACCTTAAAAGGTAGGCAGGCCCTTTTCAGTTTAGCTAGGTCATAGGCTTAAAAGAAGATGGAATCACCTAAATACAGTTTTATGAAATTATTATTTTCTCCAACAGGTGTGTGTGTACACCTCTGATTTAATACTGTGCAAAGTTAAAAGGCCCATCCACCGCTCCATCCGCTTTTGCCTCTGGTGCTGCCCATAACTGGTATGTGCCCCCCCCCAGATATTTCTCATAAGGGAGTGTCGCCCTCAGGGTGAAAACAGTTCCCCACTCCTAGCATAAATGAAACAAGAAAAGGAATAGCTGAAGCAATGATATGTTGGCTTATGGATCGTGGCTTGATAGGGAGCAATAAACCACACTCCAAGGCTCAAAATTAATGCTCAGATATCCCTTTTCCTCATGTAGAATATGGTATACAAAGTCAAGCTATGAGACTTAACTGTCAGGTGTGAATGCAGTTCAGTCTGGACGTTCATTTTCCTTATCTAATGTACCCCTTTGTAACTTTCTGCGGATTGTAGCATAACTGGTATTAAAAGTGCTAAAGCAATCGATCAAAATTAGGTTAAATTTCAGACACAATGATAAAGAAATTGAGTATCTTGCTGATATTATTATTATTATTAATGATTTATTCATTGTCTTCTAAACAACCGTCACAAGGCAATGTACACTAAAGTTAATTAAAAACAGCTAAAAGCTTCCAAACAGCAAATACATTTAAAACCAAACTAAAACCAAACAAAGTAAACACTTGTGGTAAAGACCCATTTATCCAGCTGGGAAAGCATGTCAGAACAAAAACGTCTTAAATTGTTTCTGGAAAGTGCAGATAGTGTCTTTGTGTCGTATCTTGACAGGAATGCTATTCCATGGGGGCTAAGTGCCCTGCAGCGTGGGCTTCCGGGATCTTCAAAAGATACTTCTTTTAAAAGATGTTTGTATTTCTTACACTGAGAACAGGAACAGTTCTTACTGTGAAATGTTGAAAACTATGCAATACAATTTGCCCAACCAATAATTAGCTACGGGGCAATTTCCTGACACATACTCAGACCAGACCCAGAGACATCAATGGACCTTAGTTTATAGCCTATAACACTGGATATCACCCAATGAAAATAAAGCAGTTCAAACCTGAATGTTATTGCTACCATTACTGTTCATCACATTTGTGCTTTTTTTCAGTGTGGAGAGATTTACAGTATTTGTCATTTATTTCTAGAATACCTAACTTGTATTAGGCACACTAAATGGATAAAAAATTGCAGCAATCCTTGCCTCCAGGCTTACTCTCAATTAAGTTGTAGCTTTAAATAACAGGGAGTTAAATGGAATCTTTCCACATTTCCCCCTTTCCTTTCTTTCCACAAAGACTCTGGTTATCCAAAACACTTTGCAAGAGACCAAAAAGTGATGGAGCAGTTCTGTTGTGAGCCATTTCACCATTGAAATATTTAAAATGAAAGATAATCCCAGCCTAAGGCTGTGTATATATTGCCATCTTAAAATGCATCTAGGCTCTTCCTTTTCTTACAGAATTATATAATTATAGAGTTCGAAGGAACCCCAAAGGCCATTCAGTCCAACCCCTGCAATGCAGGAATCTCAACCATCCATGACAGATCGCCATCCAACCTCGGCCTAAAAACCACCAAGAAAGGAAAGTCCACCACCTCCCAAGGGAGTCCATTTCACTGGCAAGCAGCTCTTACAGTCAGAAAGTTCTTGCTGATGTTTAGTCAGAATCTCCTTTCTTGTAACTTTGAGTCATTGGGTTGCATCCTACCCTCTGGAGCA